GCTCCTGGCCATTCCATCCAGCCAGTGCCAGTTCTCCTGCCACTGTCACTGCTGGCCAGCCTCACTGTGAGGCTGGTGACAGGATGGGACCGTGTGTGGGACACTCAGGCAAGAAGCCTGTCCCTGTCTTGTTTGCTGTGTCCTTCACCAGCCTCTGCTGAAGACTAAGCATGTGACATCCTGTATAAACTGGATATAGGGGCCCATAGAGGTTAGATAACTTGCCCAAGAACACACAGCTAGCAAGTGGCAGATGAGAACCTGAATCTGAGTTTCATGTCCTGGCACACACAGCGGTGGAGCCACGCTCCCCCATCTGGGTCCCCCTTTTCAGTACTCTTAAGAGTCAGGTGCCAGGCACTGCCGACTAGGTCCTCTTCCTACCTCAGCAGGCTTGTTCTACAGAACTTTGTGCAAGCCAGAAAGCACCTTAAAAACTGCTTTGGTCCCTGTCCCTCTTTATACAGCGCAGGACTCTCAGGCTTGAGCACAAGGACCGGTTGCAGGTCACAGCAGGACTAGCAGGGTCGGGGATGCGGGTTAGGGGCAGAGCATATACCTAGCATGGGAGAGGCCCTGAGGTCCTCTCCAGCACCTTCTCCGGAAACAAAACAAGAAAGGGCAGCCGACTCCAGCGACTTCTGCCTGCACCGCCGCACCTGCACCTGCGCCACTCCTTCCCGGGGCAGAGCCGGGCTTGTCTCCTTTGCCCAGTTTTGCGTGCGGGAGCAGCGGGTCGCGGGCTGACTCCTCCTCCTGCCGTGCCGCTGCCGGCTTTCCGCGAGGCCGCAGGCCCCCGTGGGCCCAGGGCAGGGGTTCCCCTCCTCCAGGAGAGAAACCCAAGCGCGCCCCGTCCTTCCCAGGCACGCCCGCCTCCCCGCGATCTGTCCACTCCTTCCGGGATGTCTCGGGCTCATCCACCCCACCGCGCTCCTCTCCGCGCCTGACTGCGAGCTGATTCCTCCCTCCCGGCTTTCCGCGCGGCTCTTAGCTGCCCTGTCCAGGCCGCCCGAAGGTCCTGGACTTCCTCTTCCCTCAGGACGGTCGCCTCAGGCGACCCTCCTGGGTCCCCAGGCTGGTACCAGGTCTCCCAGGGAGGCAGATTGCTGCCTGCCTCCAGGGTCCCGCGCGTCGTCTAGGCATATACTGCTAGCTCAACGCCAGGTGCCTTCTGTCCCCTCCGCCCAGCTTCCCGTCTCGGTCCGGGCCGGTCTTTCTCCTGGCGCCCGCCCCCCGACAGGTGGCCAGGAAGCCTAGGCACAGGTGAAGGAAGAAGTAGGCTGAGCGCCGGTGCGACCGCGGCGCGCACGCCTCCGGCTGAGGCCAGAGGCGGCAGCGCTGCAGACGCTGAAGCGCACACCCGTGACAACTTCTGCCCGCTTCCGGCCTAGTCGCTGAGGAGCCCGACAGCCGTGGGGTGTCCGTGCGAACCGGAAGTGCCGGGAAGGAAGGCGCTCGTGGGTTCCCGGCGGAGAGCAGAGCCATCCTAGCCCCGCCCAGGAAGGGGACCTGCAGCCGCCAGCCCCGCGGATTCCTGCGCAGAAGCCACGACTGTGGCGCCAGGCACAGCCGGCCTGTCGTCTCCAGAACTGGGTGCGTTAAGAGGCAAAACCTCATCAACCGGGGTAAAGGAGCCGGCGTGACCTCCAGAGCCATGTTAATTCTTATTTCCGTTTTTACTCACCTTTTTTTTGTTTTAATTCAGAACTTCGAGCTTGCCAGGCAGACGCTGCTCCACTGAGCTAAATCCCCAGCCCCTCACCTCTTCCTTTTATGAAAGTTTTGAATTAAGTCAATTAAGACAAGGCATATATACTTTCCACATTGTACAACTTCCTTGGTTTTGGGGTCCCTATGATCTCAGGCTAAAACAATCAATCTATATCCCCTCTCCCCCAAGTAATTAGGGCAAAAGTAAAACTCCCCAAAAGACCATTCAACATTCAAATCACTATGCCTGCCAGCCATGGTGGCAAAGAGGTATAATCCTAGCACTTGGGAAGCCAAGGCAGCTGGATCCATGTGAGTTTGAGGCCAGCCTGGGCTACACAGTAAGAACTTTTTTTTTTTTTTTTTTTTTCTTTCAGTACCAAGGATCAGACTCACGACTGCCTGCTTGCAAGGCAGGCGCTTATGCCGCTGAGCTAAATCCCCAGCCCCAAGAACCTGTCTTAACAAGCAAACAAACCCCAAAATATCACTATGCTTAAAACTTCAGTTCTAGAGATTTGGGAAATATTGAGCCTATTTTCTAGCACTCAAGTTCAACTTGGTGAGACCTTGTCTCAAAATATAAAAAATAAGAAGGGTTGGGGATGTAGTTCAGTGTGAAGGCCCTGGATTCAACCTCTACTAGTGCAAACCACAACAAAAAAACCCAAATCATAAATTTGACTTATGTATATGCATATAGTTACTTTATAGCTGAGATGGAACTAGGGCCTAGTGCATGTTAGGAAAGCACTCTACCACAGAGCTGTATGCCCAGCTATTCTTTTTTTTTGGAGACAGGGTCTCAAAATGTAGCCCAGGCTGGCCTCAAAATGATCCTTCTGTCTCAGCCTCCTGGGTGCCGGGATGAGAGGCAAGAGCCACTGGAGACCAACCTGGGCTATGTACAGTAAGATCCTGTCTCAAAATCAGCCGGGTGGGGGGGCATAGGTCATCCCAGCACAGCACCGGGGAGACTGGAGAGGTGTGAGTCTGAGGCCAGCCTGGCTACAAAATGAGTTCAAGGGCAGCCTGAACTGCATGGACAGACCCTGTTTCAAAACCAAATAAAAAACCCATTTTCGTGTGTGTGTGTGTGTGTGTGTGTGTGTGTGTGTGTGTGTGTGTGTGGGCGTCTGATACAGGGTCTCACTATGCAGTTCAGGCTGCCCTTGAACTCACTTTGTAGCCCAGGCTGGCCTCAAACGCCCAGTGATCCTCCTGCCTCAGCTTCCCCAGTGCTGGAATTATAGGGGCACAAAACAATGCCTGGCTCCACAAATCCCTGTTTTTAAAAGTTTAAACTTCTTTCTGCTGGGTGTGTTAGCACATGTAAATAATCCCAGCACTCAGGAACTAGAGGCAGGAGGATTGTTGAGTTTTTTCCTTTTTCTTGAGGTAGGGTCTCATTGTGTATTTCAGGCTGAATTCACCAGTAATTCTCCTACCTCAGACTCCTGAGTGCTGGGATTATAGCTGTGGATCACTATGCCTAGCTTCAAGGATTGCTGAGTACAGATCAGCCTTGGCTACTTAGTGAGTTCAAGGCCTGCCTGAAGGCCATATTGAGACCCTGTTTCAAAAAAGGATTTAAAAAAATTTTTTTGGTCTTTTTGTTTTTTTCGGTACCAGGGATCGAACTCACGACTGCCTGCTTGCAAGGCAGGCACTTATGCCACTGAGCTAAATCCCCAGCCCCAAAAAAACATTTTTTAAAAGTTTTTCTCTTAGGTTTGTAACCCACTTGGTTTTTTTTTTTCTTTGTAACTGGGTATTGAAACTAGGCCCTTTACAGGGAGCTGAAGTCCTAAGCCCTTTCTGAAATTTTTGGAACAGGGTCTCAATAGCCAGATTGCCCAGACAGGGCATGAACTTGCTAGCCTTCCTGCCTCAGCCTCCTACAGTGGTGGCACCGCAGGTGGGCACCACCATGCCTGGCTGACCTTGAGGTATTTTGTCAAGTACTGAACCCAGTTCTTACTTCCACCTAGAAAACTGATTGTAAACAGTAAGAGGTCCTTAGGTAGTACCAGACCACACCATCCTCCTTTTGTCCATCTTATTCCCTCAAAGTTGCGTGGTAAATATCCTCAAATATACAGGAGGTGAAGAGCTGGCATGTGCTAAGCAGTAGACAAAGGTGCCTTCCAGGACAACAGCAGGACTGCAGTGGGGACTCAGATTCTCTACTCCATCAGGAGTAGACCTCCTCTGAGGAGCTTTAAACCAGGAAGTTAGGTCCAGCCAGCGGGAGCAAGCTCCAACATTCACTCAACTACTTTATCATGGATGGAGCAAAACAAAGGCTGCTTAAAGACCTAGAAAGCTCGTCCCTCAGCAAACAGGGCTCACTTACATTAACAGGCAGCTGAGCAGACCCCTGCTTGCATCCCTCAAAGGGACAGTGCTGGCCCCAGGCGACATATCCAGTCCTTGTCCATAGCTTTGGCAGGACAGAGCCGATGTTAAATGGGGCTTATGAGCACCTCTACCCCCTGCCCTGCAGGAGCAGGGACTGAACCAGGGCCTCTGCACTGAGCTTTATCTCCAGCCTTCTGTTTTTTTTTGGTGGTGGTGGTGGTGGGTATTTTTAAAGACAGGGTCTTATTCAGCAGCTGTGACCCTCTTGCTTTAGCTTCCCTGAAAGCTGGGATTACAGATTAAGTGCCCCACATGCCATCTTCTCAAGGATTTTCATCAGTGTAGGTAACAGATTTGGATTTGGCTCTACTGGTCATCTCTGCCAAGGCCAGGGACACCACTGCACTGACTTTCATGGCTCTCTCAGCCTTAGAAGCCTCTGCATGGACGAGTTACTTGGGTAACTCGACACAAGCCCCCACAGGATCCTTAGCTGTGGCCAGGCTGCCCCTTATTCTTCACAGCCCTCTGCAGAAGGCTGCCCAGGGAGCTGAGGACACACAGGCAAGGAGCAGCAGAGCGTGGGGGCAGCGACTCGGACTCATTGGCTTGCTCCCCTCTCACACTGCCCACCTCCGAGAGTCCCAGGCCGGGAAAGGGCAGCCAACGTTCCGTGTGGCGATTGGGGATTCTGGCTGCATTCTAACATCCAATCACTCTGTCAGCTCTACTTCTGATACGTGTTTCTCTAAGATAAGGTCAGTTCTGGGTAGTAAATAATGCTAGCAAACCATCAGAGGCTAGGAAAAGAAAAAATGAGCAGAGGGGAAGGTGCCTCACTCCCCTCAGGAGCCCCTGCTGTTTAGGGTTCCAGGGGCTGAAAAGAACCACAGCTCCCAGTCACGCTATTTCCAGGAGAATGAGAAGTCTTCACAGCTTATTTCCTTTAATTACATCATAAAACAAAATTAGAACATACAGGAAACAATAGTTACATAACAATTTACTTTATATTTTTATATATAAAAAACATTTCTTTTTTAGTCCAAAGATTTTAAAGCAAAAGGAATCCTCTACTGCCACCATGGATTTTTATTTTAAATACCCCCCTCCCACCCTCAGGTACCAAAGTATTGGGTGGGAACAGTCATCTGGGCAGCACGTGGAACCTGGTGTGAAGCTACCAGGTGGGGATGGCCTGGTCCTGGGGGCAACAAGCAAGCAGCGGGCCCCCCCAGGTGGTATACCAGGGTGCCCAAGGGCAGGGACAGAACTGCCCCCCTACCCTTTGCATCTGGCCCTGGGGAGGGGGGGATGCATGGAGGAAACAGCCTGGCTTTAAGAATTCTCCAGCAGCACCGGTACCCGTCCACCTCTGTCCTCAGGCAGAGCGTGACAGGCATGGGGTCCTCACAGCTCTCTGAGCTCTGCACAGGCCACATGGGTCAGGTCTGTGTCTCAGGGTCACTAAGATGGCAAAGGTGTGCACAGCCAGTGGGTGACACGGCAAGCAGCCTCGCTCCTCACGGCGACCCCAGGAGCAGGAGTAGAGCAGCAGCACAGACCCCAGGTGGGTGCCCTGTCTGGGGTTAGTGCGCCTGCAGACAGGCTCAAGCTAGCATTGGTGTATGAAGTAGGGGTGATGGGAGAATGGAGAAGCCACAGGCACATCCCTTCCTGTACTTATTAGAGAGTAACAGTCACCAGAGAAGTACAGAGAAAGCATTTTGGAGGGAAGAACCGGATGTAAACCCAGGACAGTAGCAGCAAAGGTTCCACTCGGTGAAGATTACTACACAGCACTGGAGGAGGTTGTTTGTTGGGAGGGGGTGGTAAAGTAATTAATCAAACCATACCGGTTAGCAACTCTTTTCTCAAGTTAGGATTTCCTAAGACTTTATGGTCTCATTCTCTAGTGCTGATAAAAGAAACCAAAGTTACACTGACTTCAAGAGCTGGGGAGGGTTAGGCTTGGAAACACCCATAGGAGCTGCAGCGTGGCACATACCAGACTTGGCCACGGTGAGCAGTAAGGAGGACAGTTTCCTTCTTTTATGCTCACAGCAAGAAAGAGCTCACCTCAAGCTTTCCCTGGCCTCGGGCACAGCAGGGGAGAGTGACCCCTGACCCCACAATCTCTTCCTGGTGGACAATCTCATTTGCCGAGCCTCTCAGGCAGCTGGGGAGCCCTGGTGGCTTTCAGTGGTGCTGGTCCTTACCTGGGTGGCCCTTGATGAGGAGACATAAGGAAGTCCCTGGCTGGAAGAGGCATGGGGTCCATCAGACCAAAGCAGCTGGTACCACTGCTGAGAACAGATGCTGTGCCTGAGGGAAGGGCCCATTCTAGAAGTCCTTCTCATTTCTGACTATCACCTATCCTTTCCCCAGGTCAATCTGTCAAAATGAGACGCAGTGAAAGTACAAGGGCCAGGAACAGGTCTGCTTGCTCACGGTCTCCTTCCCAGGCTATTGAGCTACGGTGGCTGAGGTGGCAGGGAGAGAGAATCTGGCAAGGGGCCCCACGAGGGCTGCCTGGAACCCACATGAGGCAGGGAAAGTGGTGCCCTGGGTGCTCTCTAACATGACACTGCCCTGGCCACAGCCCAGTCCCTGCACTGCCTTTGAGTGTAGTTCCCTTGGGCTCTCACAGCCCAGTGAGACTGAGGCTAAAGCTCACACAATGGGCTCCTGCAGGACGAAGGGCAGCAGGGGCACTAAGCTGACAAGTGGACCGGGTTTGATGGGAAAGGGCAGATACCTTTCACGCAAAAACCTCACCTCCTGTGGCAGTTTCCGGCAGGCAGAAAGTCTGTCTTAAGTAAAAAGGCAAGGTTCAAGCAGCAGGTACGTCAGTGGTCTATGTTTTTTGCTGGAGAATGAAGATGTAAGTTACCACAGTTCCTTAATCTCTAACTACATGGGCCAGTTACACCACCCTGCTCACACCTGTCTGTAACCTCCAATCTTCCCTCCTCTTACTGCTTCAGATTCCTCTGACCCAGGATCATGGATGGGGCCTACGGATTCTGGCTCAAGATCTCCAGAGCTCAGGAAGGCTGTCAGTCAGGAGACAGCACAAGAACTGAGTCCTGCACCATGTGCAAGAGCAAGAGCAAGGAGCAGAAACGGGAGACAGCAATGCTCTCCTTCGAGCCTTCCCGCTGGTGGCTGCTGCTATGGGTCCAGGCGCATAAAAGAGCCATGGGCTGACCACGTCCTCCTGACACCCCTGTCATCTAAAGAGCTGCCGCTCACTGGCCAGCACCAGCCCACCTTCCTCATATGTCCTCATGACTTCAAGCTGAGACCAGGTCCAGAGAGTACTGTAGTTCTCCACGCCATCAGGGGCTGTCACACACAGGTAAAAACGCACTGTGTAAGGCAATGAGCTGACTGGACCCTGGACGACTGCAGCACCTCAGCTGCAGTAAACAATCCACAACCTGGAGAGCCCAGAAGAAAACACCGTGAAACCATTTAACAGGTCTCCTGCTAGAATGTTCGACACGAGAGATGTGTAAAGCATCTGACTTTATATCTGCTAATCGAGTTAACAGATGAAGAAATCAGACTTAAAATTTACAAAAAGCCATTTAAGGAATACTTTTACATCCAGTAGAGATAAGAGCAGAATAAAAGGAGAGAACATTTTTAACACCAAGCATGATGTGCTGTCACACTCCAAATATTGGAAAAGACTAAAGTTAGATCTTATTCTTCATGGAGAACTGAACAACTCAAGTCTAGCAAGCAAGCGTCTAGGACAACCCAGTGAAAAATGACCAGAGCCACTCAACAATTAACTCAAGGCCGTCCACAGCACTGCCTAGGACAAAGACCCAGAGCTACAGCTGGACACTGACATTGAGAGTGAGTCAGCAGCACTACAGGGGTGACAGAGAGGCTTCAAGATAGGCAAGGACGGGAGTGGAGAGGAAGCGGTGAGACCAGGGCCAAAGGACACTAAAGTAAAAGTGCTGGAATCACCTCGCAGAGCTGATGATGACATAAAAGGTAACCATGAAGCAAACAGTGCTGGAAAATACAGCAGGCGAGACTGGGGACAGGTGCTCAGAAACAAGGTGGTGTGATTGCCAAGAAATGTCCCCGAGACCACTGACCCTCCTGACTGCCCGAAGTTTACAGCAGGAATTTTGAGATTTTCCTTCCAAATCTCTTTTCTTGGTTCATGCATTTTTTCATTATAAAAGGCATATTCTGGAGTAGCTATGAAATCAAACCAACTAGCCAGTTTCCCTACATCAGGCCTGGCTGAGCGCCAGATTCTGAGTACTCCAGATATGGATACCAAGTATATCCAGCTATCAGGCTGCTTCCTACCTGAAGCAAACTTACCATCCATGTAGTCAGTCAGCACAAGAAACGTATTTTCTTCTATGCTTAATGGAACTAAAGTCTTCCTGTGCCTATACACTGCATCTCATTTTAATAAACAAAGTTCTTGAGAAAGGAACAGGTATCGGCCTAAGCACACAAGAGCCAGTGGTGCGCACCCCAGTGGATCTGCACATGGTGATGCCCTTTGAGTAGAGAGCTGGCATTTTTTTTTGGTCTTTTTCCTTTTTATCGGTATCGGGGATCAAACTCATGACTGCCTGCTTGCAAGGCAGGCGCTTATGCCGCTGAGCTAAATCTCCAGCCCTGAGAGGTGGCATTTTTAAGACTTCTGATGTATGGTGGAAAAAGAAGGTCTTTGAAATTTTTCCAAATCAGGCAGTTCAAATACACTCACCAATATAGGTTTCATCATGAATTTGTTTAGGAAAAACAAAGAAACAACAAAACCCATACCACATTTTAGAGAAGGCCCCTAAATATTTTAGTTTTGAACCAATGTCTTAAGCTGGGCATGGTGGCACACATCTATAATCACAGCACCTGGGTGACTGAGGCAGGAGAGTCACTTTGAGTTTGAGAACAGCCTGTGCTACAAGTGAGCTGGAAGGCCAGCTTGCCCTGCATAGCAAGACCCTGTCTCAAAAAGTCAAAAACAAAAACACTATGAGCCACATCGGGATGTGTATGTGTATCCATGTCTATTTTCACCTGCTGGGTATAACCAGCATTGAAGTCTTACACAGAAAGTGTATTCCTGCCGTGAGCAGTGTGAGCCCGAACTCCCAGCCATTTGGGAGATTGAGGCAGGAGTACTGTTTGAGGTTGTGAGCTCAAGACCAGCCCGTGGACCACAGCAAGATCCTGTTTAAACGACGACAGATGAGTGCTAGGTGTGGTGGCACATGCCTGTGCTCCTAACATTCTCTAGTTTAAGGCAGGACGACTGTGGGCTCAAGACTAGCTTGGGCCACACAGGGGGAGCCTGTTTCAGAGATAAACAGCCTGTTTCAGGATAAAAATATCCTTTACAAAGTAAGAGGAAGAACAAAAAATAACGAGCTTTTTAAGGGGACATAATGAAATACAATTTAATTTACTATGTTAAAAAATGATAGTAACAGAGGATCTTTTCATTGATTGCTTCCTACATCAACAGAGCAACATCCAGACTTCATCCTTGTATACCTGTTAGTCAGAGCCCTTTAACAATCTGGATCATGCAGGAAATGATCTAAGATCATGAACTGCACATTAATGTTCAAAACCAACTCAAACCCAATCAATCACACCAACAAAAAGAATCTTATGCTTCAGAAATGTCATTTTATTTCCTTCATCTTGTGTGATTAAACCGAGGCCCTTGCACTGAGCTATGTCCCCACCCCATCAGACTGCCCTCAATTTTCTTTTAAGACAGGGACTCCATATGCAGGTCAGACTGGCCATGAACTCACTTTGTAGTTCAGGCTGGCCTGGAATTTACAGTGACCCTCCTGGTTTAGCATCCTGGTGCTGGGATTACAGGCATGAATTACCAGGCCTGGCTTGGATTTTTCTAAGACAGGCTTTGCTGAGTTGCTAACTGTCCAGGATGGGGCTGAACCCTTGACCCTCCTGCCTGTAACCTCTAGAGTTCTAGGGCTGTGCGCATGTGCTGGCACACCTGGCCTCTGTGGTATCTGCGAGTCAAGGAGTTTCTGCAGGTTTCACTTCTGGTGGTGCTAAGGCTCAGCCCAGGCCCCAGGCATGCCCAACAGGTGCTCCGCCAGTGTACTGCCTCCCAGCCTGTATTTTCGGAGAGGGCCTCGTCAAATTAGCCTGACCTTGAGCATGTGTTTCTCCTGCCTCAGCCCCAAGAGACTGGGTTTACAGGTGTGTGCCACCATACCCAGTAAGGGGACAGCTGCTTCCTGGACTGACTCATCAATGCTGAACCCCTGATCCCCAGCCCTGATACCAGCCTAAGTGGGGTAGAGACACTGAACCTGCTTATCCTTCTCAAGATTTTAATGTAGATAACTCAATCCCGTCCCCTGGCTACTTTCACAATTTCATTAGAGGAAAAAGGGAGAGATGTTGAGGCACCAATATTGGCTATAGAATAGTTAACAATGACACAGGCTGGCCGGATGTGACGGGGCCATTCTTGTATTCCTGATGGCTAAAATGGGCGTGTGAGGCTGTGCTGGAGTGGTGGTGGGGTGCTAGAGAGCACAAGCCACTGGCAGCACCATAGCTACAACCAAAAGGGAAGGGAAGCCACTGATCACACCCAGATTTCAGCATAAGACAGTAAGCTTATTAAAGTCTGAGCTTGGGTGGCCAAGACCTGCAGGGTGAGTTTGGGTTTGCCATCTATCCTTTGCACACTTCTCCATTCTCTTTGCTTAGGAAGTTAGTACTGTCTGAAGGAAGTGTGCAGGCAGAACACTGGGCAGCTCATGCGAATTATTGTCTATCACTAGATATAACAAAACCAAAAGGCAAAGTTCGTTTTCATCAAAATAATTTTACCTCAATTTCTTCTCATTACTTTTCTTATTTTTCCTTTCAAATTGGCAAAGATTCAAGCAGGGTCCCCTAATGGTAGGATTTCAAATTAAAAAAATATTTATTGATAATGTCTTTTTAAAAAATGTTTGATAACCTCAACTAATCATCCAAAAATGCAAACTGTAAACACAATAGCCAAAGAGTAACAACCAAGTGTGAGTAGCAGGCTGTGACTGGGTGACATACGGAGCAAGAGTGCAGAGGGAGCCACAAGAGCGGAAGACAGGTGCGTGGTGTGACGACAGGACAATTTGAGTGAGTGACTGCATCTGGACTGCAGGGATCCCAATGCAGTATTTAAGAAATCTCTGGGCTAAAGACTAAACCATGGGAGGAATGGACCACCTTCTTTGCAAGCATGCTCAGCATGTTGGCATGGAAACAGGAAGCACAGAAGCTATGTAGTCATTTCATAATGATGGCTACCATGTCTAGGATGCAACGAAATTTCTTTCTGGTCCCTCATGTATCACTTTCCATGCTTTCCTTGACCCTGGATGACTGAGTTACTGTTTCGAGATCCCCAAAGAAACCCCTTAATGAAATAAAGAAACCACTACAGCAGTCACACAGTCTGCTGGAATGCCCTCCCTCTGTGCTGGCCTGCGATGTTCTGGGTGCATCCGATGGGAATGGTTAAGTTTCACTAACCCACTTGGTAAAGCCAGCATGAGCTTCAGTCCCCAGGCCACAGAGCTAGAGTGTGCGGGGTAGGTTGCAGATGCTCTGGGGACCTGGATGCTGCCTCACTCTGTAACCCTTGCCCAGAACACTGGGGTCACTTCTGCTGGAGATGCCAGGTAACTCTAGAGTATTCTTCAAGACTCAGTTCACCAAGGCCAAGCCGCCAGTGTCATAGGATGATGCAGCATCTGCAGAAGCGCTGTCTGCTGCCCCCGACAGATGGGGGTGGAGTGACCGGTGCGAAGTAGGCATGAACTTTAATGTTGGGTAAGTGGGTCTGCAACAAGACAGAAAGGTAAGGGGAGGGGGGAGAGAAAGAGAGAGAACGCTCAAACACAGGTGACTGTTTCCCAGCAAAGCCACTGAGAGGTTCCGATGACACGAAAGCTGGACTAGGGTGAGGACCAGGCAGGATGTCCAGAGACCTGGCATCTACTCTGCTCCTCCCTGTGCTGTGCTAACCACGTCAACTCACAACTTTGGTGCCTGTTTTTACAGTAATAAAACTGGGGGAACATCATTATTCAGTTTTTTTTTTTTGCAGTACTAGGGTTGGAACTGAGGGTCTTTGTATTGAGCTACACCCCCAGCACTTCGTATTTTTCAACTTTGAGACAGGGTCTCAGGTAATTGGACAGGTTGAGATCTAACCTGTGATCTTCCTCAGTTTCCTAGAGTGTGATACCATGATTAGTATATTAATTTCTCATTGTATTCCAAAGGAATTTCCGCTTGGAAGAGACTATGCAAGCTTAAAATTATTATTTTTCCAAGTCACCGCAGACAATGTCCCTCTCTCTGCCTGCCTGTTTGCCTTCCTTCTTTCCCTTCTGTTATTTTTCTGAGACAAGGTCTCATTATGTAGCGCAGGCTGACTTCAAACTCAGTGACCCTCCTGCCTCAGTCTCCTGAATGCTGACATTACAAGCGTGTGCCATGATGCCCAGCCAGCTTATTGTCTTTTTTCTTTTTCAGACAAGGTTTCACTAGGCAGTTCACACTGGCTTGAACTCACTTCAGACTGGTCTCGAACTCAGCAATCTTCCTGGCTCAGCCTCCCAAGTGCTGTGATTGTAAGTGTGTGCCACCACATCGGGCTGTTTTTTCTTTTCTTTTCTTTTTTTGGTATCAGGGACTGAATTCACAACTGCACGCTTACAAGGCAGGCACTTATGCTGTTGAGCTAAATCCCGGCCCTGTTTTTTTTTTTTTTTATATTAACAAACGCACACACACGGCAAAACAACTCACTATCCTTTATTTTAACACGTTTCTAGCCTTTCCTACTATTTCTGAATGCTTACTATGATCAAGGCAATATGCTACATATGCATGAGAGGGGCTCAAAGATGGTCACCATGGGGATCTTGTCCTTGTGGAGTTTACAGCATGGACATAGAGAAGTGACCATCTCCTGAGGGCTGAGATGGAAGAGATCCCAGGGCAAGGCAGGCCCAGGAAGAGCAGGGTCTGCAGGCCATGTAAGAGGCATGGGCCAACCTATGGCTTGCCTGTTCTTTACCTGCCAAGCCTCCCTCACTCCACTGAAGGAGGAGAAACTGGAGCCAACGAACACAGAGGAGCTCCTTTACTTGCCATGTGCAGTTTTAAGGACCATGCTAAGGCCCCAAGTGACCAGAGTGCCTCGTCCCCAGTGAATCTGAAGCAAGTGTTTCAATAAATGTCCAGATTCATCTAGGTTTGCACGACTTTTCTGCCAGCAACTTGAATCTCCTCCAGTGCTTTAGCTCTGCATGAATTTCTACCAGGAAAGACGGGGACAAAGGTAAAAATACGCCTTATTCTTTCCTAAAAAGTAAGAGCCCAGGAAAGGATTTAATGCAAAGAGGAAATACAAGTTGAACTCAAATCCCACTTAAACATTTCTTTATATCATTCCCTTCTTTCCTTGAGAATGAAATTGGCATGTGTTTCTTTTTTTCACCCTAGGGATGTGATTAAGGCTGGACATTACTGGACAATCTCCGCTGGGAGATCATTTTCTCTTCCCTTTAGTGGGTATTTTTCTACCAAATTTCCACCCAAAACCATAGGTAAAAACTATCTATCTTTGTACTTGTTCTCCAGTTTCTTCCTTCTTGATTGAGGTTCAGTTAACTATAAAACTCACAGGAATCTAAATCTAAAAGAGGAAAAGGACAGGATGGGACAGGGCACGGCAGGATAGGCGCCAAGTACACCAGCGTGGAGTGCTCACCCTGAGTCTTTTGATGCCCGCGCGGGTGATCTGCTGGCAGTCGTAGAGCTCGATCCGCTCCAGGCTGTGGCAGCTCTTTAGGTGTTCCAGCGATGCGTCTGTGATGAGGGGGCAGTTGTCCAGCTCAATCACCTCCAGCTGGTCATGTGCACAGGCCCCGTTCCCCAGGTGGCGGATGCCATCATCTGTGATAAGCTCGCAGTGGGACAGACTCTGCAGGCAGAGCAGAGGATAAGTGTGCACTGTCAGGAAGGAACACTTCCTGGACTAAGTCTGAGGAATATGGTGCCATCACTGAATCCATGCATGACAGAATGAAGGACACACCTTATAGGCGCTGGGGTCTGCTTGTAGCAATTCACAATCCAGCTTTGTGTTATTTATTTATTTATTTATTTTTTGTGTTATCTATTTATTGGTACTGGGAATCAAACTCAGGATCAGGAGCTTGCTAGACATTTGCCTATGCAGCTGAGCTATATCCCTGGCCTACCTCTGTGCTATTTTAAATACATTTTGTAAATTCATGTAATGACTGTGAACATTGTAAACAAAGCAAGACAGCTTTAAAAATTATCCCTCCCCAAATCAACACGTTTCTTAACAGGGATGAGCAGGGGCCAAGATTTCATTTACAGAGTTGTCTGGGGTCTGCATTAAGCCCGGGCCGTCTGGTGTAGGGCCCGACCTAGCAGCTGCAGCTGCCCTCATCTCAGACAACGTCTCCTCACTAACTCGGCTTAAGTCTATCTCTGGAAAACTCTGAACCCTTGACCCAATTCAGGACCATACAGGGGTAACTTTTCCAAAATGAGCCCAGACATGCAATGGTTACCTTCTTTTTTCCTTCCAGTACTGGGGATTAAATTCAGAGTCTTTATACTGAAGTATGTCCCAGCCCCTTTTTATGTTTTATTCTGCAATAGGGTCTTACTAAATCACTAAATTACCCATACTGCACTGTAACCTGCGATTCTCCTGCCTCAACCTCCCAGAGTGGTGGGATTAAAGGTATGTGCTATCACATCCAGCAAAACACTTTCCTGAAGAGTCACTGACTATGGTAGCATGAAGTTGCCCTACAAGGAATGGACTGTTACTGTTTTATAAAAACATAAGGTTGGTCCACAGTGCAACAAAAGGTAATCTGGGCCATCTCAACTTCTGGATCTCTGGAAATGTAAGCATGAAAATGCCACTCAGTCTGGATGGTGCTCCCTGTGGGGAGACCCCACTTGCATCAGCACCACTGGTTCCCCTACCCCATCTGTGTCTAACTCCCCAGCTCACTGGAGCCCTCTCCAGTCCTTTGCAAGCTGGTGACTCAGGGAAGCACACTGTACCACAGTGGCACCAGACACTGAGAGGAAAGTGAAAGCTGTTTCTTACTTTAAACAAGCCACAGCACTGCTTTCATTCAATTCAGTAAATACATAAGCCTTGAGAGTCAAACTCACCAATACTTGAAGTCGAGGACAGTGTATAGAAAGTTGGATTAATGTGCTATCAGTTATCTGAAAGGAACAGACAGTAAGTACAATCAAACAGTCACAGGTTCTGTCTCCTTTTTCCCCCTAACTCTTCCAGGCAGGGTTTTGCTGTGTAGTCCAGGCCAGTCCTAACTCACTCCGTAGCCCAGGATGGCCTTGAACTAATGGCAACCTTCCTGCCTCAACCTCCCGAGTGCTATAATTACAGGCATGTGCCACTGCACCTGACTTTGTATTTCCTTCTTGACTATACTTCAAGTCTAGGTATCATCAAATAATGGACCCTCAAAGTCTCAAAAACTTTTTCTTCTTAAAGGCAGAGCCCAGGCTAGACTTAAACTCATGATCCTTTTTTCTAGCTTTCCAGAATACTGGGATTAAAGGTGTGCACACCTGGCTTTTCAGTCTTAAAACTGTTTATAAAAAGAAATTGTTGATAAGGTCAGGAGGGCAGAATTTTGTAAGTGTAAAGTCTCGGGGTAATGAAGGGATCCAGAGTTCAGTTAAACTAAACAATGGCAGTGAGTAGAGCATGGCAGTGCATGCTGTAATCCCAGCACTCGGGAGGCTGCGAAGGGGACGACTGCTGCAAGTGTGAGGCCTGGGTTGCATGTGAGTCAGGGCAACCTGAACCAAGCAGTGCAATAAAGCAATATATTAGTGCTATAAGTGTTTACTAGAATCACAATTCTGCAGGTCTAATGAAAACAAAAGGAAAAGCAATGCGTATTTGCTGTGCTGCTTAGGTCAGCCTTAAACTGTTCAAGCTCAAGTGATTCTCCTGCCTCAGCCTCCTGATAGCTGGGACTACAGCACAGGCCAGCACACCCAGCATGAAGAAATTCGGTAATGATTTTATGGCTTGGACACTTGGGTGTCCTTTCTAATGCCAGGTTGACCACAGCATGTATTTTCAGGTGTTATTTAACACATGTGCCATAGCCACCCCACCTGCAGCGACTAAAGCATCTCAGGAAGTGGACAGGAAGGGAAGCTGCCAGACAGATACTTCACTGTGCCACACCAGGGAGAGACTTAACCATTCCCACGGGCATGGATTATGGAAGTCCCTACTGCAGTGCATTTGTGAATAGAATACTGCAATCTTACCTGAACACATTCTTCCAGGTCCATCTTTTCAAGCTCATGGCAATTCTACAAAGTACACATCAAACAATACCATACAGACATTTAAAACATGGAAAATTTTGCGGCCAGAAAAATAAGGAGGTGGTATTAAATATACTAACAAAACCTTTGTATTTCAGAGTTGCTGTCATTCTAATGCCACTTTCTATCTTATTCCATTAATTATACATTTAAAAAGTTCTGATCACACTGATGTTTCTCTCAACATATAAAGACCTAACATCTTCTAAGTATAAGAGAATACATTTTCTGTAATGGTGGGCTAATGACACAGAGATCCTTAATGAAAACAGTTTCTTTTCTTTTCTTTTTTTGTCTTCTTCCTTTTTATCGGTACCAGGGATCGAACTCACGACTGCCTGCTTGCAAGGCAGGCGCTTATGCCGCTGAGCTAAATCTCCAGCCCCCAACAGTTTCTTTTTTTTTTTTTTTTTTAAGCCAGTCAAATTTAGCAGTGGGGGGGTGGTATACCAACTTTAGTGACACTAATGTTAATAAGTTCTGATAACCCACTGCCATCGGACCAGCCAACAGTTTCTTTTTTTAAGACAGGGTCTCGCTATGTAGGGCAGGCTGGCCTTGAACTTTCAGTGATCCTCCTGCCTCTGCCTTCGAAGTATTGGGATTACAGGCATGCATCACCATGCCCAGCTGAAGAATGTTTCTTTGGAAGACAGGAATCAATTATGTTTTCCTTCAGTTGGGTGTCCAAGGCCCTCAGCAATTAGTGCTCACTGTCTGCCAGAAAATGAACGACCTCCCTCTGTTCCATAATACTGGTCAGTCAAAGTCAGCTTGATTCCACCCACTGTTACTACCCTTCCTTCCTTTTTTTTTGGTCTTTTTCTTTTTTATCAGTACCAGGGATCGAACTCATGACCACACACTTGCAAGGCAGGCGCTTATGCTGCTGAGCTAAATCCCCAGCCCCTGCCCTTCTTTTCTTTTGCAATACTGGGGACTGAACCTGGGTCTTTCACATGCTAGGCAAGTGCTCTACTACCATGCTACACCCTCAATCCTTTTCAGGATTTTATTCTGACACCGTGTCTAAACTGCCTTAAATTTAGCAATCCCCTTGCCTCAGCCTTCCTTCCCCCATCAGTGGGATTATGGGCGGGCACTGCTCTCTTCAACTCAGGCTTTTATTTCTTTTAACATTAAATATTATTCACACTGACTAGTAACATATCACATAACAGATTTCTTTCACAAAGCACCAGGAAGCCTGGGTATATCATCTTATAAAACCACAGAGAACTCAAATTCCAGTGTTTGGTTCTCCCATGTATGCCTGCTTTTCTAGAACAGTTTGACTTCTTTACATTTCCAGCCCTTTTTATAAATTTGAGACAGGAGCTGGGCATGGTGGCATATGCATCTAATCCCAGCACTATGGAGGCTGAGGCAGGAGGCCAGCCTAAACCATATAGAGAGGCTGTGTCTCAAAAACAAAACAAAAATGAAATAGAATTGAGATAGGATCTTCTAAATTGTCCAGGCTAGACTTGGAAATTGCAATCCTCCGGTCTCAGCCTCCCCATGTGCTGTGATTACAGTGTGTATCACCATGCCTGGCTAGCAGCTTGTTTTGTTACTGGTATCAGCAGGTCTACACTTACAGCCACAGGAGCTCTTCCTGCCTTATACCCTCAATGCTATGTCCATGCCACCTCTCACTTGCTGCTCAGTCTTCTGAAGTAAAAATCCCAAGCAAAACCTCCAGCAACAAGAAAACACTTACCCTGGCCAAAGTGGTAAAACCCACATCTGTTAGTTGAGAACATCTTGCAACTTCTAATATTCTGTTAAAAAAAAACAAAGTGAAGTCACGGTTTGATGCCTGAAACCTGGTTTTATTAAAATGGCAGGATTTTAAGCCGGGCATGGTGGCTCACGCCTGTAATCCCAGCACTCGGGAGGCTGAGGCAGGAGGATTGTTGCAAGTTCGAGACCAGCCTGGGCTACAAAGTGAGCTCAAGGCCAGCCTGAACTGCATAGAGACCCTGTCTCAAGAAGACAAAAAAAAAAAAAAAAAAAAAAAAAAAGGCAGGATTTTAAGAAAACAATTTCCTATTCTCTCTGGGCTTCGTAAAAAAGAGTGTCATTTAGAGCTAAGCAAGTCTGTGTATAGAGCTTGCTGTGTATTTGCATGGAATCAGTTGCCAGTGGTCCTGACAATGCCATAGTTCGGGGTGGTGCACTCAAGCCCAGAGGAATCTAATGAAGCTTGTAGTTAATGCCACAGCATTAAAAGCCTTCTTGCTGCATACTGCATACCCCCAGAGGGCAGCGTGCTCCTAGAAAACAAAGGAAATGGACATAAATACTCTATTTCAGTTAATCTGTTGTACAAGTATTTACTTCCTTTCTGTTTTACACATAGGTTCATTCAGATGTAAATCACTTTTTTTTTTCTGGTACTAAGAATCAAACTGAGGACCTTGTGCTTGCCAGGCAGGTGCTGAGCCGCTGAGCTATATCCCTGGTCCATAATCACTTTTATGCAAAGGGGTTATTTATTTTCAGGTTGGTCCCAAATAGAAAACTCCATACTGTTGTTTTGGCACTATAACTTGAATTTATGACCTTGCACTTGCTGGACAGGTGCTAAAACTCTGTAATTCTGTGCTTCCTGCCTCCATCGACAAGCTCCACGGATGCTCAGTACAGGGAATTCCTGCTAAAGTGAACCTAGGTGGGTGTGGCAACACACATCTGTAATAGCTTTCTGGGAGGCTGAGGCAGGAGGATCACAAATTAGAACTCAAATCTGAGAATTTAATGACTGAAGAGAATATCTCAAAAAAACAAAACAAAAACAAACAAAAAACGACTGGGAACATTGAAGAGCCTGTGGGTTATTTTAAAACTAAAACCCAAAAACCAGGAACCTAAATACCAAACACAGGACTGGGGAATCAAAACTAGTTTTATTCAGCCAGGCATGGTGGTTCACACTTGTGTGATCCCAACACCCTGGGAGGGTGAAGCATGAAAACCACAACTTCTAGCCTGGCACTATCTCAAAACAAAAAAGGGCTGTGTTTCCTATTATTCTGCTTTGAAATTCAGTACCATCATTTGTATTTTTTTGTTGGTTGGTGTTTAAAACAAAAAGGGGGGTGGCTGTGGATGTAGCTCAAAGTGAAGGCTTAGGTTCAACCCCCAGTACAACATACGCAGACATAAAAAAATAGCCAGGCGTGGTGGCTCATGCCTGTAATCCCAGCATTTGGGAGGCAGGAAAGTCATGGGGAGTTTGAGACCAGCCTAGCTTACAAAGTGAGCTCAACACCAGCCTGAACTGCATCGAGAGACCCTGTCTCAAAAAGACGAGAAAAAAAAAAAAAAAAAAAAAAGCCTCTTATCTGAGAAAAGTCTGGTGACATCTATACTGTACAATGGTACCAAAGGAATATATGCTATTTGCTTACAAATTACCTTTTATATCAAAATTTAAAAAATGAGCCGGAATCAGGGGTGGTACCACACACCTGTGATCCCAGCGCTTGGGAGATTGAGGGAGGACTGCCATGAGTTCAGGGCTACCCTGGGCTACTTAGCAAGACCCTGACTCAAAACAACAAACAAAAAAACAAAAACAAAACAAAATGAAACAAAATCCAACCCCCTCAAAAGCCACAGTACTAGAAAGCAACCGAAAATCAATCAGAAACAAATGAATGTTTTTTCCAGTCGGAGAGGATGAGCTGAATGAACATTAGGTCTTTCTTTTGTAGTACCATTAAGCCCTTTTGCATACTAGGCAAATTCACCACTACTGAGGCACATTCCCATCCCTTCTTAAAACTGTATTTTGCCATGATGAATATAATCATTATGTATTACAAAAACACACTAATAAAAATATATTTTTTTTTATCTTTTTTGTTTTTATCGGTACCAGGGATCGAACTCACGACTGCCTGCTTGCAAGGCAGGCGCTTATGCCGCTGAGCTAAATCCCCAGCCCCTAATAAAAATATTTTTTAAAATTATTATTTTTTCTTTGGTACTGGGGATCAAACACATGATCTGATACTTGCCAGGCAGACACTTGTGCTGCTGAGCTAAATCCCCAGCCCATGAAACTGTATTTTGTGATACAATTTTGCTAAGTTGTCTAGGCTAGCTTTGAACTAGCGATCTTACTGCCCTGGGCATCTCGAGCAGCTGGGATTACAGATATGTGCCACATGTCCAGCTGAAACAACTCTGGATCATCACATTTGAGGACCTTTCTATTCTAATAATGTAACAAACCAGACAGGAAGACAGAGTTGAAGACCCCTACAACAGAAAGAGTAAGGTATAGTATTTTTAGAGAGAAGTGTGATTATCTCTCTGGCTCTTGATAGTAAGTACTCTAAGGTTCTAATATACTTATTTTTACCAACTAGTATATATGTTCTAGTAAGGAATTTTGATATTGTAGGCAAATGTTCTTTCAGCACTTATGGGCTTATTGTCAGGTAAATCATCCAAAAAGTTTCTAGAAAATTATCGTGCTTCACAATGATTGTACGCAAGAAAAGTGGTTTCATGGCTCTGGAGCCAGAACACTTGCTTCTGAAATTCTGTTTTTGTCTTTACTGGCTCTGAGACCATGAATAGTTTGTTTGCTTTTCTGTGTCTTAGTTTTTCCCATCAATAATAAGGAGACAATAACAGGGCTCATACCATGTTATAGGGGTTGAACGAATTAAACGAATTTACTTCTAAAGCAGGTGCTAATGTGTAAACAGCTTATTTGTATACCTTCTACATGCAAGGTGAGTGCTCCACATTCAGCTACATCTCCAGCCCCTTTTGTTAAGACAAGGTCTCACTTTGCAGTCCAGGCTGGCCTTGAACTATGTAGCCCAGGCCGGTCTTGGAACTCATATGAATCATCCTGCCTCAGCCTCCCAACTGGGATTACAGGCGTGCAGCACCACACCCAGCATTTCAGCCTATATAGTTATTTATCTTTAAATTTTAAAATAAGGTTTTACTAAGTTGTCCAAGGTGAACTCAAACATGTGATCTTCCAGCCCCAGTCTCCTGGATAATTGGGGTTATGCCTGGCATAAACGTTGTTTTAAAATACAAAAGCAGTAGCCAGATATAGTTTGATATATGAGGCATAAAGATTGCAGGTTCAAAGCCAGCCTGGGCAATTCAGAGACCTTACCGCAAAATAAAAAATAAGCCTATAATTTCAGTATTTGGGAAGCTGAGGCAGGAGAACTGCTGTGAGTCTGAGGGCTGCCTAAGCTATAAAGTGATTTCAAAGCCAGACTGAACTATATATATCGAAACCCTGTTTCAAAAAAAGAGGGGGTGGGGGAGTGGGGAAGGAAGTATGGCAAGATATATAGTGCCTGCCTGGCAAGTATAAGGTCCTCAGTTTGAGTCCTGGCACCAGAAAAAAAAAAAAAAAAAAAAAAAAGGCAGGGGGAGGGCTGGGGATGCAGGTCAGTGGTGGGCTGCTTGGCTAGCATGTATAAAGATCTGGGTTCCATCTCCATTTCTGCAAAAAAGCTAAACGTCAAAACAAACCACAACAAAATGGCCGACGATCTAGCTCAGTAGTACAGTGCCTGCCTGGCAAGCATCAGATCCTGAGTTCAAGTCCTAGTACTAAGCAAAAAAGCAAAACAAAATAAAACCCAAAACCATCATAACAAAAAGACACGGGGATAATTTCTACTCATTACAAAACTGTAATCATGGATACCATGCGCACATTAACAGAATTTGTAGAATATATTCAACTAGTCTCATTCATGCAGACAGCAAGAGCCACAGAGAAACAATTAAACTAAAAGACCACCCCAACAAAAGGTCCCCCTGTAGGACCATTCTAAATATCACCACATATCCAGCATCACTACTAACATAAATGACCTTAAGGTCAATCTTCAAAAACTTCTCTGAGCTCAGAATCATATTAAAGCAGAAGAAACAAGTTAAAGTTCCAAGAAATAAACCTAGCGAGGGAGGCTGCTATTCTTCCTTGGTGTTCCTCACTTACATAAGAAATGTTTACCTAAGCCGAGGGCAGTTCTGACCTAGCGCGTTCAGGATGGCATCTGTGATGTTGGAGCAGCCGGAGGCACAGAGGGACTGCAGCTTATGGCACCCTCTGCATATAGTAATGAGTCCTTCATCTGTGATTTGCTAAAAAACAAGACAGACATCAGTAACACAGAGGAATAGAAAGAAAGAAAACAGTAATACTTATGTGAAAAACAAAGCACAAAAAAGAAACTCAGGCAAGTTTAACATTAATTAAGAGCTGATCTATCTGCTAATAGAACTGGAATACCTTGTTTCTCTTTTCGACTTCTCTCTGATGTAGTCTGCAAAAGAATCTCTTCTGGTATAAAGGAACACTACAATGAAATTCTTTTCTTTTCTTTTTTGGTCTTTTTGAGACAGGGTCTTGTTACGCAGTTTGGGCTGGTCTTAAGCTCACTTTGTAGCCCAGGCTGGCCTCAAAGTCCTTTCAAATGCTGGGATGCCACCATGTCCCGTTTAGAATGAAATTTTTTAACCTAATGAGACTGGGAACAGCACAGGGCATGCCAGAGTGTGTATTCAGAGAACTGATATTAAAACCTAGAAAGCCAGTAAGAACAGCAGTAGTTTAGTAGTATAAATATATTTACAGGTTCAAATTGAAACTTGTTAGTGAAAAAAAATTAAACTAACAACAACAAAAACTGTGGATAACATTTGCAATACTACCACAACTTTCAATTTTTTCTGTGATCTAACAATGTAACATGTAAAGGACATCCTAATTTATAAAGAAAAAAGAGTAGTGTTTAACTAGATATATAACTCTGCACTGTTGGGGCCAGGGATATAGCAAAGGAAAACAAAAAACAAACAAACTTTGTATTGTTTAAAAATTGTTTTAGTCATGTATGGTGGTGCATGCGTTGGAGGAGGATTGCCATGAGTTTAGGGCTGGCCTGGGTTATATAGTAAAACACTACCTCAAAAAAAAAAAAAAAAAAAAAAAAACAAAAAACAAAAAACAAAAAACAAACAAACAAAAAAAAACGAACACCAGAAAGAAAATGAGTCATTTATAAAATCATTTATAAATATCACATTGTGTGTCTAGTGTAAAAAGTAATAAGAACTGTAGGAATAGTAAAACTCGAAATGTGTAATTGCTATTGTATAAAAGAGGAAAAGCAAGTGCTCTGAAGTATATTAATTGCATGTATGTTTAAGTGTGTAAGATAGATAACCATATTACTAAGTTTTTGTTGGATCATTTGCAGTTTCACTGTCTGAATGTCTACTTTGTATGTTTTTTTTTTTTAATTTTTTTATTTTTATCGGTACCGGGGATCGAGCTCACGACCACCTGCTTGCAAGGCAGGTACTTATGCTGCTGAGCTAAATCCCCTGCCCCTACTTTGTATGCTTTAGTTTTGTAACTTGAACAACTATTTCTAAGATGACAATATGTAATTTATCAACTACTGATTTCTGACTTTATTTTTTTGAAATTCTGTATTATTATTTTTTCTGTTTTGCTTTTTTTTTCCCTCTTTAAATAAAATTTTAAAAAAAGAGGGGGGTTTGGTATTTAGCTCAGTGGTATACATGTGCCTGGCAAGCATGAGATCCTCTGTTCCATTTCTAGTACACCCCCACCCCCAAAAGAGTTTCAAACTTATTTATCTGCGTGAGACAGGGTCTTGCTATGTAGTTCTGGGGCCTTGACCTTGAAGTGATCCTGCCTCAGCCTCCCAAATGCTGGTATTACAGGTGTGTGTTACTATGCTGGGCTTAAATTTACATTAAGTAAAAAAATGAATACCAGAGCTGGGGATTTAGCTCAGCAACATAAGCGCCTGCCTTGCAAGCAGGCAGTCGTGAGTTTGATCCCTGGTACCAATAAAAACGAAAAAGACAAAAAAAAAAAAAAAAAAAAAAAAAGAATATCAGAAGGTGTAATACAACACCACATAGGACATTTTTGTTTTTTGGTTAAAGGTGTGCATCACACCTTTAGATACTATTTAGCATTTGAATGTATCCTATCTGATTTAACAATTCTGTATAGGTTTAAAAGCTCCCTTGCCATCTCTATTTAACCAAGCAATATTCTTAAACTGTAAGGACAAGGCGGGAGAGAAGGGGGGAAAGCCCAAAGCTTTTACTAGTCACTGTCTTTTTTTTTTTTTTTTTTTTGAGACAAGGTCTCATTACATAGGCTAGCCTTGAATTTGTGACCCTCCTGCCTCAGCCTTGGGAGTGCTAGGTTCAGAGAGGTGTGTGCCATCAAGTCCAGCTAATGTTCACTGATTACATTAGAAGTTTCATCTCATGAAAGCAAAACAGAAATTGAAAACTAGATGCTAAGAAAGACACACACATTCATGTGGAAAAAGGACTGCACAAATGTAATGTATCATTACTGAACAAGGAAACTAGGACCAGGCATACAGCTCAGCAGTACAACACCTGCCTGGAAAGCATGCAGCCCTGAGTTTGATTTCTGGCACCAAAAATAAATGAACAAATAACAAACCAAACCAAACCAAAACCAAAACAAAACAAAACACAGATATTAAGAGATATAAACTGGAAACTTTTTTTTGGTACCAGAAATCAAACTGAGGACCTTAAGCTTGCCAGGCAGTTGCTTATGCCACTGAGCTATATCATTGGCCCGACACTGGAGCTATAAAGGAAAACAGGAATCAAATAATGCAAGTAGAGGGGAACACTGGAAACCATGCCACGCAGTACTATCAGAAAAGTACTTGTGGGGGTTGGGTGTAGTAGTGCATCTTTGTAATCTCAACACTCAGGAGTCTGAGGCAGAAGGATCGTTTCAGGTTTGACGTCAGTCTGTGATGTAAAGAAATGGGATTTAAGGCCAGCCTGAACTACACAGTGAAACTCTGTCTGTCTGTCTGTTTCTCTCACCCACATATACACACACAGTCACGCAAGCACAAACAAAAACAAAAACAAGGGGCTGGGGATTTAGCTCAGCGGCATAAGCACCTGCCTTGCAAGCAGGCGGTCGTGAGTTCGATCCCTGGTACCGATAAAAATGGAAAAGACAAAAACAAAACAAAACAAAAACAAAAAACAAAAAACCACAAAAAAACCCGAAAAAACAGAACAGACAGAATGGAACTGCAGGGCTGTGCTGACACTGCCTTCTTAGTTGGAGAAAGTCTGGCTGGGTGTGGAGCACACACCTGTGAATCCAGCTACGAGGACTGCTGACAAGGAAACTGCTTGAGCCCAGGAACTCCGGATAACATCGTGAAACCATCTCTTCAAAAACAGAATTATTGGGGGGTTGGGGATTTAGCTCAGCGGCAGAAGTGCCTGCCTTGCAAGCAGGCAGTCTGTGAGTTCGATCCCCGGTACCAATAAAAAGGAATAAGACAAAACAAACAAACAAACAAACCCAAAAAACCAGAATTATTAGGGAGTACTGAGGAAGATCGTATTGCCGAAGCTAATTCAAATTTAAAAATAGTAAAATCAATGAAACTTTTGTTTTCAAATCAGTCAAGAAGGAGAATGCTCAGCCAAGGCAAGGAGGTACACACCTGTAAACCCCACACTGTGGCAGGCTGAGGCAGCAGGAAAGCAAGCCTGAGCCAGCAATGTAGTAACTTAGTGAGATCCTGTCTCAGAAAATAAAAGTTAAAATTCCCACGAATGCTTGGAAGCATTTTATCATGCTGTACTAAAGGAACAACTCCTGTACTAAAACTTTAGTAAAAGAAAAGATAAAACGTTGACAGAACTATTCTTTATCCTAACTAACTTCGATTCCTGCCTGCTGGTAGGACAGAGAGAACCCAAACAAACCAGGAGGTGGAATGCACGGCATGTGTACTTACATGGATATTTGTGTGTACGATGGTGCACATTCATGCATGTATAAAACCACACAGCTCCCTGAAGCTGCACAAGAACAATTTCCCTCTCACACCGTACGACAATAGTTCCACACTTACAAATGTTCAAGCTTGCTCTCTCAGAGCACACATTTCAGCCTTATCAATGAACAGAGGTGCTGGGCACAATGGCACACACCTATGATTCCAGCACCCTGCAGGCTGAGGCAGGAGGATACACAGTGAGCCTGGAATATACAGTGGCCTGGATTCCATAATAAGATCCTATCTCAAAAACTAAACCAAAGCAAACCAAACCAAACCAAAATGAATATTGAGAATTTTTTTTTTTGGTGTCAGGGATGGAACTCATGACCTTGCACTTGCCAGGCGCTTGTGCCACTGAGCTAAAGCCCCAGCCCAATAGTGGGAAATTCTGACACTCACCAACCATGACTTCAGAACAGTAGGCCTTTGCGTATCACCTATAAACTGAGCAATGATTAGGTTTTCCAGTTCCAACTGATTAAACAACATTAAAAAAAAGATATAATAAGCAAAAAGCCTAGCACAAATAGGGCACTTCACTGTTCTTTTTTTCTGCTACAAGGGACTCTCTCCAAGGTAATAGACATTTATCATTTTCTAAGCGAAAGAAAACCTGAAGGCCTAATGTTCTAGCTCCTGAATTATCTGAGTAAAACTTAGGGGTTATGTAGGTATCAAACAACTGATGATCTAAAAAAGTCAGTATGTTCAATGTAGACACTCTCTGAAATAACTTAAAAGCCGTGTTCTTTGTTGTTGTTAGGCCAGTGGCTTCCCAGTGCTGAGCCACCAATGCATCTTCTTTTTACCACTGAGCTACCTCCCAGACCCTTTTAAATTCTGGGACAGGATCTCACCAAGCTGCCCATGAGGGTCTTGAACTTAGGGTTCTCATATGCCCAGCTTCTCAAAAGTGCTGAGGTAACAGGTATGTGGCACCACGCCAGGCTAAGCAGACAGATTTTCTTGAGCAAGTAAGAGTCAAAAGCTGTGGTGGCACACTTGCCTTCCACTGCAGCACTTGGGAGGGTTAGGCAAGAGAATCACCACAGCTTTGAGGCCAGCCTGGGCCACACAGTGAGTTCAAGCCAGCATGAACTCTATAGCAAGATCCTGTCTCAAAACGAAGTACAACAATAATAAAAACAAACGTAGGTAAGAGTCATCTGTTGGTGTGGTGGCACACACCTGTAATCCCAGCACTTGAGAGGCTGAGGTAAGAGGTCTGCCATGAATTTAAGACTTGCCTGGACTACATTGAGAGTGCAGGGCCAGCCTGAACTATACAGCGAGACCCTGTCTCAAAAAACGAACCCTTCTAACTCCCCAAAAGACAAGAGTCATGTGTGTGTGTCCTATGTTCCTATGGTTGCTGTGGAAAAGCTACTGGCCTTGACAGTTATAGTAACATCAGTAACATTAGAGAAAGGAATTACTGATAAAGAAGCCTTGTGGGAAGGGTGCTTACTAAGCAAGTCTGCAAGTTCAGAGTCACCAGCTCAGGACAATGTGCACCTATGTACTTGAGAGCTTCATCTTCTAGCTACAAAGATTAAAAAAACAAAACAAAACAGGTGGTTACTGGCATTGTCTCAAAGGAGCCTTAAGAAATACACATTCATCATTACATTCCCTATATAGCCAACCACGCTTCAAAGAACAACGAACCACAAATAATTATAAACATGCAACAGCATAATTCCTATTAGTAGCAGAGTTATTAGTACTTTTAATGACTCAGTGTTTTTTGGTCTTTTTGAGACAAGGTTTCACTGTGCAGTTCAGGCTGGTCTTGAACTAACTTTGTAGCCCAGGTTGGCCTTGAACTTACAGTGATCCTCCTGCCTTGGCATTCTATGTGCTGGGATGACAGGCGAGGGCCAGTACCCCTAACCAAAGAATCAGTTCTTATCACATCAACTTTACATGATAAATCAAGGAAAAGATAAAATAAATACTTCTGATGAATACATCTCCCAGTACTGTGGAAGGTATGAAATAAAATAATTTTTTGTATTTCTCTACTCCTTCCTTTATAAGGTTTTTTCTCCCTTCCCAGTAGTGGAGATCTCTACAAAGTTTTAAAAAACTTTTAGGAGGAAACAAAAATAGAATTTAGTTTATCTGCTGCTGGAAGATCCTGCTGTGTTTACACCTCTGAGAACAGAAGTTAATCAATCATATAGTGCATTCCAATCAGTATTTCTCAGGATCCTCTAAATAATCAGATTACTAGTTTTTGTTTTGTTTATTTGTGTGATACAGAGTATCATTATATAGTCTGTGCTGGAATCAAACTCATGGTGGTCCTCCAGAGTGCTAGGATCTCACAGAGTACCATCACTCTCTGGGCAGTAGTGCCCACAACTAACATTTCCCTCAAAATGAACATCTCAGTAACAGTGACACAGAGCTTGAACCTTCCTAAGTATACATGGAGCATTACCTGTGTGCAGCCTTTTAAGAACAAGGCCTTGAGCCCCCCGCAGCCTCTCACTAGTGCTTGAATGCCATCCTTGGTTACTTGGTCACACCAGGAAATGTTCAGCTGCTCCAGCAGTGGGCAACCCTCGCTTAGAACAGAACACATAAGACATGCAGGTCACTACCTCCAACCCTGAAGGCACCCACAGGGGCATCTCACACCCAGCCTAAACAAAGCACACAAGGCATAACTGTGTTTCTCAGATACAGACACAAACTGAAAATACATTCATTCATTCTACTTTATAAAATAATTAAGAGTTCAAGTTTATACTCAGGTTTCCCATCAAGTAATTCAATTAGTGTCAAAACAGTAGTAGTGAGGATTTTATTTATTTACTTTTTCAAGGGGCAACAATGGTACAGTGTGCCCTGTCATTCCCAAATCATTCACCTAGAGCGTAAGACATCTGCATTCAATTGTCTGAACACTAGCACAAATCTTTCTCTTAAATGAACTCAGAAAAATTAGTGTAACTATCTAAACTAGTTATATACACACACACACACATATATGTTGAGCAATGAAAATTTTAAAACTTTCACTTGTAAAATTAAATTTGTTTATTTACTTATGGCACTGGAGATCGAACTGTGCCTGAAATTGTGTGTGCCTGCTTGTATTTTTCACATGTGGGGCCTGAGTTCCTCCAGGAAAAAAAAAATCTCTTTATTCTTTTTTTTTTTTTTTTTTTTTTTGGTACTAGGGATCTAACTCACAACCTCACACTTGCCAAGCAGACATTTATGCTGCTGAGCTAAATCCCCAGCTACCCCCTCTTTTTGAAAATTTCTTTATTCTAATTAACTCCAGGTAATAGTATCACAGCAATCGGTTTAAGGAGGCAATTGAAATGTCCACCTTAAATTCTATATCAGCTCAGTGAGTTTCCACACAGTTAAGAGTATTTTCTTTCACTGCCATTCTGAAGCAGTGAAGCTATTCATAATGAGAGGATTATGGTTTCATACTTTATATATTCATTCATCATTTTCATGCTAATGTAACACAGTTGGTGCTGATTTCCCAGTTGTTTCATCGCAACTTCCTGTGTAAGTGTAACCTATCTGTAGTTCTACACTGTCTCAGCATCACATCAAATAGCTCACAGAGGCTAATATCACCCTGTGTCTGGGCACACTCTGAAACATGTTTGATTGTATAAAAGCAAGAGCCATGAGACTGTGGTTACTGCTCCATCCAGCTTAGAGGCTCCTGGTAAGAGACGCTAAGCTTTGAGGGCTCAGCATTATTTCCTCTACCAAAGCCACCCAGACCTGACAGGACCCGGTATGCACCCAACAGAGCCCACAGCCACACCTACTATAGTGGCTGCCATCTAGGCCAACACACTGGCTGGGGGCTACCCAGCTCTCATCTAAGGGCCTGGCTGCCACAAGGGGCATGTGGCTTTACCTTTCACGGGGCATCAGCAGCGTAGAGATGCCTGGTGTCTGGAAACACAGCCATTCACCCAGCTCTGATACAGCCTCTTACTAAGCTGTCCAGGCTAGGATCAAATTTTGAGTCCTCCTGTGTTAGCTTCCCAGAGTGCTAGGATTACAAGTATGACCACTACACCCAGCTAATCTCTGCCTGCACAATACTATCTTCATCCCTGACCCTTCTACCCTTATCAGTTTAGTTTTTTGGTTTTTTTTTTGTCTTTTTCCTTTTTATTGGTACCAGGGATCGAACTCACGACTGCCTGCTTACAAGGCAGGCGCTTTTGCCGCTGAGCTAAATCCCCAGCCCCTATATCAGTTTAGTTTTATATTTGAAATACTAATGAATACCAAGTTTTTTATATTCTCACGGTTGTACCAGCACCACAATTTTATAAATGATAAAGATTATTGTATTTATCCCACATGGTGAACAGTCCTCAGACTTTTTATCTGCTCAGTATTAACAAAGAAGGTTTAATGGAGCCACATTTAAAATAAATATCGAAATAAATAAATAAATAAATACAGGAGCCCTGTTATTTTATTTTTTTTGGTACCGGGGATCGAATTCACAACCTTGCGCTTGCCAGGCAGGTACTTATACTGCTGAGCTAAATCCCCAGCTATTTTTTTGTTTTTGAAACAGGGTCTTGTTATGCAGTTCAGGCTGGACTTGAGCTCACTTTGTAGCCCAGGCTGGTTTCAAACTCCCAACAATCCTCCTGCTTCAGCCTCGAAAGTGCTGGGATTATAGGTGCGTGCTACTACACGTGGCTAAGGAGTCCTGTTTTTATATACTCTATTTTAATCTACTTTTTGGTTTTTTGAGACAGGGTCTCACTGTATAGTTTAGGTTGGCCTCAAACTTGCAGTGATTCTCCTGCCACAGCCTCTTAAGTGCTGCAATCACAGGCGTGTACTACATGTTTGGTTTAAGAGTTTTAATTTTTTTCTTCTTTTTAAACAGCTTAACTTAATTATTCATTTATTTATTGTCTTTTTTTTTTTTGGTCCTTTTGAGGCAGAGCTTCACTGCGTAGTTCAGGCTGGCCTCCTCAGTGCTGGGATTACAGGTGCTCACCACCACACCTGGCTTAAAACAGCTTAACTCTTTTTTTTTTTTTTTTTTTTTTGTCTTTTTCCTTTTTATCGGTACCAGGGATTTTAACTCACGACTGCCTGCTTGCAAGGCAGGTGCTTACACCGCTGAGCTAAACCCCCAGCCCCAACAGCTTAACTCTTAACACATGTAAGTAAAACCACTGAGGCACTATATCAATTTATTAAAAGAGCTAGTTAAAAACGCAAGTCTCCTAAAAAACATGGGCATTTTATTTTCCTTTTCAGATACACCTTCTGGATCTATGAAAGACTTAACAGTTCACCTCAGGGTCCCTTGGGCAGTTACCATTTCAACCAGTGGATTCTTGTATTGAATATATTTTACAAAACTGTTGTTTTTATATCTCCTGTCATATTATAAAAATTAACCAAAAATACAATTTTTGGTTACCCTATATTTACATAACTGCACTGTTAAGTGGTTAAAAAATACAAGGACATCATTCATGAATAAACTGTGCCATGCTGTTCAGAAAATCCAATTATGGCAAATCATTTCACTTGAGTATTTCCTTTAACTGCAATTTGGACAGTTGTAAAATTAAAGATCTATTCAAAACTACAGTATATATCCATAAAACAAGGTTGATGTCAATCCTAACTTTGTATCAGTCTATAAAAGTATGTACCAATGGACATGCTTATAATAAGAAATTTACCTCAGAGCTTTGAGAGACATGTTTGTTATCGATGTACAGGAAGCCAAGTCTAGGTGCCTGAGTTTGGAACAGAACTTGCTAAGGCTAGTACATGTACTGAAAATGGAGAAGGAAAAATAATGAGTAAACAAAATCAGAACACAGTCTTACTGTATCACATACCTTTCTCAGGAAATGTGTGCATTAATAGAAACATAAAACTGTCATACCCCTCAAAAGCAGCTCTACACCCTGGGACCTTGACACTCAAGCAGGGGCAGATACTATTCACAAAGAAAAAGAAAACCTGGCTGTGGACAGCAAAGCTGGCGATTCCCCCTGGGAAGTGTTAACAGGACACTGTTTAGATGAGCTTTCTGGGACCTACAAATCTAGAACACCAGAAGGTTAACAAGCTCCTGTCAGGATGAGCTCAAACACGAGGGCCAAAAGTTCTGCCTGTTGTTTTACTTAAATCCGTATTCAGGTAATCAATTGCATTGCACTAGTGAATCAGGTTTCTTTTTTGTGACACTGCACACTGAGTCCAGGGAGTGCTGAGCTAGATCCCTAGCCCTTTTTATTTTGAGACAGGTCTCTTTCACTGAGTTACCTAAGATAACCTTCAGTTTACAGTCCTTTTAAGACGCCCTGAGTAGTTGGTATAGACATGTACTAGCATGCATGGGAAAAAAACTAGATTTTTTTCCAAGAATACAAAAGATGAGCTGGTATTGGCTGAACAAGTATGTAGGAAATACTGCTATCCGTGGTACTCTAGGAACTTTTAGATTTTATTTTCTTTTGGCCAGGCTGAGGATTGAATCAAGGGCTTCATGCATGCTAGATAAACACTGAATTAAATTTCCAGGCCCCTTTTCACTGAAAGAAAGAAAAAAAGAAAAACCTATTACCTCCTCTTCTTTTTATTTCAGTATTTTAAAACAAATTCCAGACATATTATTTTGACTGTGAGTAGGTTTTATTTGGCAAAGTTTCGTTTTTGTTTACAAACTACATCAGGTGACAAACATGACTGTGGCCATCTTTTCCAGAATCTTGGAACAAACTAAGTTCATGAACTAAGGTACTACTGCATACTTTCCATAGAGAATTACTGATTACTGTTTATAAGATTTTTTTTTTTTTTTGGTCTTTTTCGTTTTTATCGGTACCAGGGATCGAACTCACGACTGCCTGCTTGCAAGGCAGGCGCTTATGCCGCTGAGCTAAATCCCCAGCCCCACTGATTACTGTTAAATAATTTTTAATTATCAGATACAAGTGTGTTGTTCCTCTTAACTGTCTCATAAATGGCTCTGTCAAAATGATTTGTTTAAAGTAGGTTTAAACAAGAGTCACACAGTCTTTGTTTGGTGATGTACCGCTTCTGTATTGCTTGGACAGATGATGGGCACAACAGTTAAGTCTAGCTTTGTAAGACACTGCCACTTTTCTGCATCAGCCTCCTGCGCACCAGGATTACAGGCATATACCATCATGCACAGCTTTCTTTATACAGTCTTTTTCTTTTCTTTGGTACTGGGTATCAAACTCACGACCTCATGTTTTGCAGTCAGGTGCTATGCCACTGAGCTTATCCCCAACCCTCACTATACATTTTTTTTTTTTTTTTGGTACTGGGGATCGAACTCACGACCTTGTGCTTACCAGGCAAGCACTTTAGCCACTGAGCTAAATCCCCACCGCATTATACATTTTTTTTGAATTTTTTTGGGGGGTCTTTTTGAGACAGGGTTTCTCTATGCAGTTCAGGCTGGCCTTGAGTTCACTTTGTAGCCCAGGCTGGTCTCAAACTCACAATGATCCTCCTGCCTCAGCCTCCAGAGTGCTAGGGTAACAGGTGTTTGTACCACCACACCTAGCTAACTCTATAAATTTTTAAAAGATGTATTTTTATCCAATCCTGGGAGCTATATTCTAAACTCTTCTTAAATCTTTCTAGATTTTGGGATAGGGTCTCAAAAAGCTATCCAAACTGGCCATCCTCCTTTCTCAGCCTCTTAAAGTGCTGGAATTATAGGCGTGAGCGACCATCCCTGATCTTCCAACATTGTTCTTTGCTTTGTTGTTTTTTATTTTTTGAGACAGGGTCTCACTATGTAGCCCAGGTTGTCCTTGAGCTCACAGTATCCTCCTGTCTCAGCCTCCTGAATGCTGAGATTCTATTACTTAATTTAGTCTTTTTGAGATAGGATCTCATTATGCAGTTAAGGCCACCCTTGAGCTTACTTTGGAGCCCAGGTTGGCATCAAAATCAGTGATCCTCCTGCTTCAGTCTCCCAAGTGCTGGGGTTACAGGTGTGTGTCACCATGCTGGGACATCTTTCCACTTTTTAGCCCCTTTAATTATTCCAGTAATGTTTGGGGTTTAGAAATCTTGTACTTCTTTTATTAAATTTATTTATTTGAAAATATCTGATTCTTTTTGTTGCCCATGAAGTAGTTTTCTTAAGTTTCATTTATGGATTGCTTGTCACTAACCTACAGTAACAATTATTTTTCTATACCAACTTTTTGTGTGTGTAGTCTTTTTTTTTTTGGTACTAGGAATCGAACTCATGACCTTGTGCTTGCCAGGCAGGCACTTTATACCACTGAGCTAAATCCCTAGCCCATGTGTGTGTAACCTTGAGGATTGAACCCAGGGCCTTTCTACTGAGCCACATTCTCAGCCCATTTTTATTTTTTACAACTTTTTTGGTACCAGGAATCAAAATCAGGACCTCATACTTTCCAGGCAGGTGCTGCATCATTAATTTTTATTTTGAGACAGAGTTTTACCAAATTGTTAAACCCTGCAGGCTGGGCTTGAATTTTCAATCCTCCTAGTTCCACCTTTCAATGTGTTGAGATCACAATGATACACACCACACCCCGCCTGTACACTGATCTTGTTCCAAGTGTCCTTAAACTTATGTATGAATTACAGCATTTCTTATGACTTGTGATTTTCTATAGATAGAATTATAGAATGTTATTTGCAAATAAAGTTCTACTTCATTCATTTCTATCAGTATGCATTTAAAAAAATACCTAATGCACTGACTATACCCTGCAATGATGCCCTGATTTCAAAACCTCCACCCCAAAAGGTTGTTCCTGACCTTAGGGAAAAAGCATTCACACCTTCATCATTAAGTATGATGTTGGCAGTAGGTTTTCATAGATGCCTTTGACTGTGTGAAAGAGATTTCCTTGCATGGTGTTTGTTTTAATCAGGAAAGGGTACTGGGTTTTGTCACCTGTATTTTTGTGCCTAGTACCGTATTAGTTATCTTGCTGTGCAGTAAATTACCTTAACACATAGAAGCTTGGAACATCAGATACCTAGTGTCTCATGGTTTCTGTGGGTCAGGGAGCACACAGTCAGCTTAGCTGAGGGCCTCTGATTGATGCTCTCCAGGAGCCTGCGGCCAAGGTATCAGAGCCTGGCTGAGCAGTCTCCAGGCTACACTGTGTTTCCATATCTTTTCTAGCTCATCCAGGTGGCCGCTGGCAGATACCCAAGATCTGACTGTAAGCGCGTTCTCTGCTTTGGTAGGTGTCTGGCTCTCATGAGTGGCTGGCTAGAGACACAGGTTCCTTGGACACAAGGGACTCACAGCAGGGTAGCCTGCCTCCCTTAAGAGCTATGACCCAGGAAAAAGCTGAGAGCAGAAGACTCTCTGAAACCTAATCTTAAAAAACAACATCCCATCCCTTCAGCAGCATTTATTCTATTGTTAGAAATGAGTCAGGAGGGCCCCAGCCTACATGGGGAAAGAATTACACAAGAGTGGAAATACCCACAAGTGGGGATTACTTAAAGGCCATTGATCACAATGAGATGATTATGTGGTTTTTGTTATTTATTTTTTGTGGTGCTGGAGACTGAAGCCAGGGCCTTGTGCATGCAAGGCAAAAACTCTACCACCGAGCTGCATTCCCAACCCACAGTTTTTTATCTTTTTAGACAGTCTCCTCGTGTTTCCCAGGTTGGCCATGAACTTGGATCCTCCTGCCTCAGCTTCCTAAGTGCCATCATACCTGCCCTGACATCTATGTCATTTTTTTTTTTGGTTATTATTTTTAAGCTTTGAAGTATTGAGGATTGAACTAAGGGCTTCCTCCTGTATATTAGGCAAGTGCCCTACACTGAATAACAACCCCAAGTCTTTTTGTTTTGACACAGGGTCTCACTAAATCACTAAGTGGCCCAGACTGGGCTTGAACTCTAATTCTCCTGCTGTAGCCTCTTAAACAGTGCTGGGAGTACAGGTGTGTGCCACCAGTCCTGGCTTCTTTATGTTCTCTTCCCACCTTTGTGAGTTCTTGTACATTTATAGTTTACTGTTAACCAAATCTATTTAGACATTTATAGTTTTTCAGTAGTTTTTTCCTTGCCAGAAACAAATTCCTTTTTTTCCCCTCTAAGACAGGGTTCTCACTATGTAGTCCAGGCTGGCCCCCTGAACTCATGGCAATCTTCCTGCCTCAGCCTCCCAAGGGTTGGGATTATAGGTGTGCGCCACCATGCCCAGTCTACTGTGGCTTTTATTATCTCTACTACATATACACTGAATACGAATTTACAGTTTTACTTTAAGTTAAATAAAAGACAAGATTTCAAATTATTATTCCATTTCTAATTTCATGTTGTTTTCTCCTTTTAAAATGTTTCCTTCGCTGGGTATGGTGGTGCATGCCTGTAATTCTAGCACTCAGGAGGCTGAAGTAGGAGGATCACTACAAGTCTGAGGCCAACCTGGACTACATAGTGAGTTTAAGGCCAATCTGAAATACATAGTGAGATTTTGTCTCAAAAAATCAAAATTGAAACTGAAACTGAAACCAAACTAAATCTTTCCTCTGTAAAACCATGATGAAAGCAGTTCAATATATTAATTGGCCTTCATTTAAAGAGTCCCTGGTCACATTTTGGGCCATCCAAAACTTTTCCTTCTAAAACATGCAATACTTACGCATCTGTCGTCTTTGTACACCCATTTAGATTCAGCACTTCTATGTTCCTACAGTTTTGTGCAAAGGTCCTTTATGGAAAGAAGCAAAGTAAAAGGTTTAAACGAAATGGGCAACATTTCAAGCATAAAAAATAATAAAAGATATTCTTCATAATAATGATTGTTGATATTATACTATTTGGTTTCTATATGTAGTTATTTTATTTTTTGGTGCTGGAGATCAAACTCATCACCTTGTGCTTATCAGGCAAGCACTTGGGCCACTGAGCTAAACCCCCAGCCCATATTTGTAATTATTTGAATAGACCTGCAATTCCTCCATGGCAGTGGGACAGGAGTATCTTTTATTATAATACTTGTTCAACTGTGCCTAGGTAACACGGCCACCCTAAAAAGCACTAAGTGATGGAGAATGGGCAGTTTCTGGGCTGCTGAGCAACATCATGTGCGGAGAGGTGGAAGCCATAATTCCTCAGGATAGAAGGTCTTGTGCTTGGGACCCTTACGAATCTAAACTGCATGTGCAGTTCATCTGTGTCGTTCACAAAAACTGAAGGTAACTAAAGGGTTTTCCTGAGTTCTGTGGACCATTGTAGGAAATTCTCAAGGTCTAGGAAGGAATGAGGAGAATCCTTGATTTCTACTCCATTCATCAGAAGACATGGCATGGTGAAGCATACCTATCATACCAGTACTATACATGGTATAGGTTGTTTTTTGGTACCAGGAATTGAACTCATAACCTCACGTTTGCCTGGCATGCACTTATACCCTGAGCTAAACCCCCAGTCCTCAGTATGTATCAAAGCTAAGGCAGGAGGAACACAGTTCAAGCTCAGCCTCAGCAGTTTTGCAAGATCCTGTCTCAAAATAAAATAACAAAAATGGCAGAGGACAAAGTTTAATGCAAGGATCCCATATTTAATTCTCAGTAACCCACCCCGCAAAAGTACATAGCAATATGAGACTTGCAGCTAGTATCTCAAATATGGACAGTCTTTTGGAGCAGCCTCCCAAGTGCTTGGATTACAGGCATGCACCACCATGCCCAGCTTCTGCTCTTATTCTTAAAACCATTCCTTCTATTATCAGGTATTTTTGTGTTATAAACAATGTACATGTATATGAATTTATAACTGCTTAGAGACTTTAAAAACTACCTGAGCATTTTCTAGTGAGGTGATGTGGTTCTTTATTTCAACCAAAGCGATTAAGCTGGGGTGGTGGTCCATGCCTATAATTCCACTATTATGAGAAGACAGAGTCGGAGCATGGTAGGTTCTAGTCCTTAGTGACTGAGACACTGTTTTGAAATAAATAAAGAGGGCTACAAACCCCCAGGGTAGCTTGGAATACTTAGTGAGATCCTGTCTCAAAAAAAGGGTTTGGGGAGTACTGAGCTGCAGGCTTGTGGTGCACCTGTTCTTGTGTGAATGCTGCCACGGTGCTACTGCATCTGGGCGTGGCACCCCCAGGGCTGAGTAGCCTCTGGTGCCATGTTGCAGAGTGGGGTCCTGGGTGGCAGGAGGAGAACCTGCAGGCCTCCTGGGTAGAATTTCAGGTGAGCAATAATGGAAATGGGAGTGATGTTCCAGCCTCAGTTTCGGTTTACAATAGTGATGTGGGAAAAACACTGCTAGAATAGCTGCTCCAGTTCACTGTGACAGCCCACCTCACCCACAGACACAAGAGCTTGTGACACAAATCCATGGGAAGACTACATGGAGAGAAGAAGCGGAAAGCATCTGTAACAAAGCCTCAGATTTGATATGGGACTGGTCAAGTCAGTCAGAAAATGTATCCCTAAGGAGCTCCTCTTTAAACACCTGAAGGACACAGCTACTCTCAGCCAGAGAAACATGAGTGCTATGAAGAAAGGAAAGGAGGTATTTTCTTTTCTTTGGTACTGAGGATTAAACTCATGACCTGGTGCTTGGTAGGCAGGCGCTAATGCCACTGAGCTAAATCTCCCATGCCCATGAGACATTTTCTCAGCACAAGCTTGGAAGGTTTTTCTTCTGTCTGTGCTGCTGTCTCACCTAGTCATTGGATTGGGGATGTGAATTGGAAGGCATCTGATAACCTCCACCAGCACTTTTTTTTTGTGGGTCTTTTAGAGACAGGGTTTCACTATGCAGGTCAGGCTGGCTTTGAACTGGAAGTGATCCATCTGTCTCAGCTTTTGTTTTTGTCTTTTTCATTTTTATCGGTACCGGGATGGAACTCACGACTGCCTGCTTGCAAGGCAGGCGCTTATGCCGCTGAGCTAAATCCCCAGCCCCCTGTCTCAGCTTTTGGAGTGCTGGGATTATAGGTGTGCACCACCATGCCCATTTAAAATGAATCCAGGGCTTCTGCACTGAGAAACAGCTCATTTCCCCTTTCTTTTTTCTTTGTTACTAGGAAATGAACTCAGGACCTTATGCTTGCCAGGTAGGCACTTCTGCTGCTGAGCTATATTCCTGGTCTTGTTCATTCTATACAAGCTATGTTCCTGGATTAGTAAAGTAATATAGACACTAAAATCAATCTGCTCTATAATTATATCTATAGAATCAATTAATAAGCATGACACACTAATATCTATAATAAGCACACTAATATCTATAATAAGAATTTAGTAGTGGATTTTCTTTGGCTATCAGATATAAATAGCATAAATAATTTTAAGATACTAGATATATGTATTTAAAAATGTCAAACCTTAATTCAGTTAAAACACAACACACACACACACACACACATACATATTTTAAAATGTTTTATATTTCAAAGAATGAACAACATTGATATTAAAATCACTATGCTTCTGGGGATGGTGGCACATGTGTATAATCCTGGTACTTGGGGGCTGTGGCAGGAGGATAGCCATGAGTTCAAGGTCAGCCTGAATTACACAGCGAGATTCTGTTTCAAAAAAACAAAGAAATCACTAAAAGGCCTGCCCAAAAGAAATACTGTAGCCCTATAATTATAGTATTATAGAATTTTTTTTCTATTTTGTTTTAAAAGAAAAAATGATACAGAAAATAAAAACAAAAAGCAAGAGACAAACAAGCAACAACAAACCCAACACAATAGTAGAGGTTTACAAGCAAGACGATAGGAATTTGACAATGGTTGTAATACTATATATTGTTACCTTCAAAAGTACTGCTTAGATATAGACATGTAAAACTGATCTAATTATATGAAATATGTTTAATTGAGATGGATGCAGATTGTCTACAAAGACCACTTAACTACATAAGTAGTTCCTAAGTAATAAATAGAGAAAAAGTACAATTACAAATTGCACTAACTAGTAGGTACACTAAGCTGTTGTTTTTCCAGTGTGAGGACTTCAGCTGGTGGTCAGTTTTCTGACAAAGGCATCTATCTATCAGTACCTTTTACCCTTTTTTACTCTGGATTGCTGGATTTAATCTTATTCTTCTGCTCAACTTTTGTTTCTCTTAAAATTAGCGTTATTGTAAGCAAATCTGTGTCTACTTTGAAAGACTGGAAATAGAAATAAAACTAACTGCCAACTCAAAAAAAAAAAGCACATGTACGATGTGAAAGGCCTAGGTCTAATTCTCAGATAAAGGAAAAAAGATTAATCAGTAGTTATTATTATTATTATTATTGTTATTATTTTACCTTAACGCATTGTCTCCTACTCCAAGACACCCACGAAGACTTAACTTTCGTAAAAACCCTCCACAACGTTTTGAAATATTCTCCACTACCCGGCCCTGTAACGAGAAATAGGTAAACAGATAAGCTACCTCACTGCTTTTGAGAATATATCCTACTTTTTTTTAAAACAATTTATAAACAGAAAGAAATGGCTTCTATTTGTTTCAAAGACGTAATTAAATAGGAAAATTCCGTGTTCAGTTTGTAAAATATTCTGTATTGGAGGAATGGTGCTTTCTAGGTCTCTTATGGGCACTACATGCAGTTTCACCTGGGTTACTTCACAGCTACTGATGGGCACAGCCCGATGCCTGAAATCTTAGAACTTGGAAAGATAAGGCAGGAGGACTTCTGTGAGTCTGAGGCCAGCCTAAACTGCAGAGAGTGATCCTGTCTCAATAAAATAGAACAGATGCCCAGATAGGTGCTCATCAATGAATGAATGGATAAAGAAAAAAATTTTCTTTTCTCACCGCTCCTAAACTCATTATGTAGTCTAGGCTAGCCTCAAACTTGTGGCAATCCTCCTGACTCAGTCTCTTGAGTGCTGGGATTATAGTTGTGTTGCCATGCCTGGCAAAATGTGGTTTTTATATGCAACAGAGTACTACTCTGCCTTAAAGAAGGATAAACTTAAAAAGAGATTTTTAGGTAAATGAACTCACCTTGAGACCATACTTTTTTTTTTTTTTTTTTTTAACTTTTTAATGGTACCAGGGATTGAACTCACGACCGCCTGCTTGCAAGGCAGGTGCTTATGCTGCTGAGCTAAATCCCCAGCCCCTGAGACCATACTTTTAACTGAAATAAACTGGACACACATGTTTAAATATTACATTGCTTCCCTTAAGAACCAAAATGGATGATAGATAAGGGGAAGCAGGAAGAAAACATCCAAGTGGGAAAGGGAACGAAGAGTGGGGTAAGGAGCAAAGCTTTTGTACGTAAGAAGAAGGGCTGGGGGGAAGAATGGGGAAAAAAATTGAAGATACTTTATGTACAAGTACAAATTCCCTATGATGAATGTGATCACTATTCATATCAAACGAGTACAAAATTAAAAACAAAAGCCAAACCAAAAGAAAAAAATAGCTATTGAAGGACAATATACGTATTTGTCTGCGATCCTTTCTGAAGAATTTATAACACCCTGTGTAGAGCAGGAACTCACTGAACACTGAATATGTGGAATGATTGATTCTGCGTGTTCTTTTTAAAAGATTTATATCCAAGAAGAGCAGAGAACTGTGACAAATAAAATCCAGAACAATGCCTGTGTGTATGACTTTGGAGGTATGTTCTAAGGTAACAGGCTTATGACAGGCTTTTTAACGTTTCTTACATGGTCCTCAAGAAACTTTACTTCTGTAAAGCTTAAAGAACAACAACAACAACAACAAAAAAGAATAAACTGCTAATTCTCAAAGCAATGTGAAGAATCTGGTATTTTCACTCTCTGCATGAGAGCACCAAGGACCACAGAACTGCAATTTGGATGAAAGTAACTAACTTCAGCTTAGATCTTACGTGTCACTACTTCAGGGATAATGGGCCCTATTAGAAGATGAACTATTAGGCGAAGGTGCGTGAAGGGGAAAAACCTCTGTTAAGAGCAATGGAGGTCGGGGACGCAACTCAGAGGCACAGTCCCTGCCTGGCAAGTGCAAGGTTGTGAGTTTGATTCCTGATACAAAACAAACAAAAAAGAGAAAGAGAAAAAGAAAAAAAAGGGGGAAAAATAATTTCTACCTACAAAGGTTTGAGTTTCAGGTGCCAGCAATATAGCTCAGTGGCACAGCACGTGCCTAGGAAGTGCAAGGTCGTAAGTTTGATCCCCGGTACCAAAAACAAAAAACAAAAAATAAAACCCCCCCCCAAAACAAAACAAAACCCCCCCCTACAATCCTGAAACTAGGGCAGAGAGGGGAAAAGGAAGCAAGAGAAATGAAGAAATGAGAAAAAGATGAAATGGAAACAAAGCTTTGTGAATAAGGAGGGAAAGGGGCTGAAGGGAGGGGAGGAGAATGGGGAAAAAAAAGAAGAATCAAGATATAGGAGGGTACAAATTCCATATAACGAATGTGATGATTATGCATATGTAAAAAAAATTTTTTTTGGAGACAGGGTTTCACCATGTAGTCCAGGCCTCTAATTTGCAGTTATCCTCCTGCCTCAGCCTTCTGAGTACTAGGATTACTGGCATATGCCACCATCCCTGGTTCTGTATACCTAACTTGTACCAAAAAGATATAATTTTTTTAAAAAGGGGGGAACAACATAATACTCTTTTTTTAATCAGACTGTCTACTGAGCCTGCAATGATTGGTTTCACTATATTTATTCCATCCATAACTATCACAAAGACAGAAATACGATGTTCCTTCGGGAACTCCTAGCAGATACAACTTTTTGTGTGTACCAAGCACAGAGGCATGTTTGTGGGAAGTATTACTGGAAGAGATTTCCAAGCAATGCAATGCCTAACTTGAACTGTGAATGTAGATTTTTTATTGGCTGAAATAGAAAAATAAAGAAATATCCAAAAAATTTAATGAATGACCTGGGGATTCCTCATTTTACTACCACTATTTCTGTTTCTTTGGTTCTTCCAAGAACCAAAATGTACATCTCCAGAATACATGCAAAAAGCATCCCAACAACTGTACTGTTCTTCAATGAACAAATACACTGTGAGCTCAAGGCCAGCCTGGCTTACAAAGTGAGTGCAAGGCCAGCTTCGACTACATAGCAAGATGCTGTCTCTTTGAGACTAACGACAGAAACAAAAACAAAAAACTCCACCGAACATAAGTTCTTCGTATAGTTCTGCAAAAACCAAACATCTGGGATCCTGTTTTAGGACTAGAGTAATTCTAAGTAATTTAGAATTATTGCAATGAAATAATCATATATTCCCCCAAATTAAAGAAACTCATATGAATGCCCATGAATTTCAGATATATTGAAAATAACAGTTTCTCTCTCTGGGGAAAATAAGATTTACATGGCTGGTGCTAATCTGTTCCACACTGTAATTACTGACAAGAGAAATTAGGGCCACATAGCACATAATTATACCTCAATATCCCTCTGGAAATCAAATAGGTCAATTCGCTGCCAATTGCTGCCATCCAGAGCAAGAACATTCCAGGCCTATTTTGAAGAAAAAGAGGCAGAAAGAGCAAAGTTGAGTGAAGAAAACCCAGCAATATCCATGTTTACCAGTCAGCCGAACAATGACTGACGCACACTGAAGAATCCGATGCCTGCTGGGAACTAACTGCAGCCTGTCTGCCTGACTCACAGATACCCTACTCTCTACCAGTGAGTGGCACAGAGACCTCCAGCGGCCGATCTTGACCTAGGGACAGGCAGGTTGGGATAAGCCTTCCGGCTGGAGCCTAAATAGACCAGACTACACTCCCCCACCTCTGCGGATAGAACCTAGGGCCTCTACACTCAACTACATTCCCAGTCCTTTTTATGATCTGCCTTAAGGCAGGTGCTTGTTGTAGTACAGGCCTGTAATTTCAGCTACCCAGGAGGCTGAGGCAGGAAGACTGAAGTCTAGCCTGGGCAACTCAGCCAGACCCTGTCTCACGAACAGGAAGGGTTCAGGATGCAGCCCAGCAGTGGAGCGTTGTCTAGCATGTGTGAAGTTTTAAGTCAAACCCCAGTACTGGGGGGAAAGTCATCAAAACAACACTGGTAAGCTGGGGATTTACCTCAACAGCATAAGTGCCTGCCTTGCAAGCATGCGGTCGTGAGTTCAATCCCTCGTACCAAAAAGCCAACCAAACAGCTATTTTCAAAATAGCTGTTACATGCATGCTGGTATATTACCACGGTATGTAACACGGTTGTTTCACATCATATTTACCTGTGAAAGTAGAGCTAAGTGTCCCTTCAAATGCTACCATAACTACCATCACACACACATGTACAGAAATAAAAACAAAACAAACCTTAATATAGACAGTTCTGTCACATTAACTGTAATTTCTGAGCTGGCAGGGTGGCACACTCCTATAAGCCCAGCACTCTGGCAAAGGCAGGAGGAGTGTAAGTTCTAGCCTATTCCAGGTAATTGGCAAAACCATGTCCTTTTGTTTGCTTGTTTTTTTCTAGTCTTTTTGAGAGAGGGTCTTGCTGTGCAGTTCAGGCTGTAGCTCTGAACTCTCAACGATCCTCCTGCTTCAGCCTCCTGAGTGCTGGGGGTCAGGGTGCTGAGGCAAGAAAATCCTTGGGAGTGTGAGACCAGCATGCATTACACAGTGACCTCAAGGCCAGCCTGAACTGTATAGCAAGACCTTGTATCAAAAGACAAAAGAAAAAAAAAAGTTTACAAAAAGTACTGGGAGAGCAGCTCAGTGCAAAGGCACTCCAACCCCTAGTTGGGGGTGGGTGCATGAGTAATAGCTGCATCTCAGAAGTGGACTTTTGTTAGCTATTTGGTAATATTCATTAAGTGAATGAACTAAAAGCTGGGGTCTGATTTATAAAAAGATAGTAACTTTCCCATAATTGATATTCTACCTTTTACTTTAGTGACAGCCTAGAAAATTATAGTATTTGGCCATTCTGTCATAGCAGTGCCAACAACTGGGCAGTCAAGCAGAACTGATGTAGGAATGTGTTATGGCTCCATTCTAGATGTCCTTCAATGCCTCTAGGGCTCACAGGAAGGGCAGGCTTTTCCCAGTCCCTGGATCTAGGGTGTATGACACCTGGATTAAGGGTGTGAGATTGGAATCAACATAGTTCTGGGAGTCGGTGGCACCCCAAAGGGCCAGAGGAAATAAAAGGGAAAGGCAGGCTGGCTACCCTCATCTCCTGCTTGCCTGCTCATGGACTGCTGCTCTTCCTCTGTCCGCCATGGCCCTGTGCCATGACACCCTGCCCTGGTGGCTATCGACTGTGAACCAAAATAAACATTTCTCTGCTAACATTGGGTATTTCTTCCTGATGAGAGAAAAGTAAGACGCGATGAAATCTGGTTTGTTCTGGAACTCTTTCTTCATGTGCCAGGAATTGAACTGAGGGTCTTGAGCACACAAGGCAAGCCCTGTCACTGGCCCACATGCCTAGCTTTAAAACATTTTTTCTAGCTAACACCTTTTAAGAATATGGGATGTAACCTAAGATTAAATGCCTAAGACTCACCCATATAAATCCATAACTATGCATGTGCTTATATAAAATGAACTCGAAAAATAATATAACACAAAGGGTTGGGGATTTAGCTCCATGGTATAAGCGCTTGCCTGGCAAGCAAGAGGTGGTGAGTTCGATCCCTGATACAAAAACAAACAAACAAAAAAACCAAAAGCCAACCAACCAAACAAACCCAAAAAGTAATATAACATGACTTTATTGAGTTAAGCCTAACCTTTTCAAAAATCAATTTCTCAAACCTAACTTTCTAAAAATTTTTGAGGTGCTATGAATTTAAGAGCATGGCACATGCTAGGCAAGCGCTCTACTGCTGACCTACACCCTGAGCTCAAGCCTAACTTTTTAGATGTGGTAACAGGAAATGAAAGCCGGGCCTCATATACACTATGCAAGCACTATAACACTGAGTTATATTTCTATATTTTTTTGTCTTTAAAAAAAATTTTTTTTGGTCTTTTTTGAGACTGTTTCACTATGCAGTTCTGGCTGGCCTCAAACCTGCAGCCATCTTCCCTCCTCAGCCTCCCAAGTGCTGGGATTACAGATGTGTACTACCACATCCAGCACTCTCTTAAATTCTGAGACAAGAACTACTCTGTAAGTTGTCCAAGTTGTTTCAAACTTGTAATTTCTCCTGCTTCAGCCTCCTGAGTAGTTGGTAGTGTAGTTGTGTGCTACCATTCCAGGTTAAGCCAAGCTTTTTATCTGTTCAATGCTTTTCCACAGAAAATGTTTTCTGCTTGTATTACACAAATGCAAGTTACAAAATGCTAGAAGAGTAGATGTATTGAGAATCCCATCAGAATTACACAGGATGTGTATTCCACGGCTGAAAAGATTCAAACATAACAATGTCACAGAAATACCTAAACATGGTTAACTTACTAAAAAGGCCATCATCCTGAGGTCAGAAGGGGTCCCGTGTAACAGTGGTGGGGAAACCTACACACGTGTGCCACAGCTGTAGGGCTGTCTGTGTCACTGAAGGCTCTAAAAAGGTTTCCCACTATTGCCCTCTAACCATGCCAACCACTCTTACCCTGGAAACCTGAGCACAGCGACACAAGGTAACGACATCGAGGAAAGAAAATATCCTATAAAGAGAGGAAGACAAACTTTATTGTTTGGTAAAATACTTTCTCTTCATTTCTAAACCTTTAGAAATTTTTATCAGTACATGTTTGCAGTACGCATCTTATTTTTATGTTCCCCCTCCTATCATCTCTTGATCCCCTATCTGAGAAGGATCAAGCTACTTCCTATTATTTAACTTTTATTTTGTTCTTTATAAGAGTGGAGAAAGTAGTCTTTACTTCATAATGCATATTATGTAATTGCTGTATAAATTCAGTTTCTTATATCAAGGGACAAATGATTTCAAATTGATACTTACATGTTACCAGATGAGACTAGGAAGCACTAGTCGGAGAGGAGGCTAGAATTTCTATTCCAGTTACCTGACACTGAAAAATCTCCTACTTACTTAGTAGATAAAATTTTGTTGTTTAATGATCAGAGGCCATCAATATTATTCAAGAAGTTGTAATAAACTGAATTGATAATTACAACAGATAGAAAATGGTACGCATTTAATTATTTCTGGTCCAAAAATTTTTAAAGTTAACAAACATGATAATTACAGGTAATAATGGTACATATAGTATATGTTGCCATCTTCAAATCAGTTACTCAGAGTATGCAACATCTGTATTTAATTGTCCAAGCAATACTAGAACAAATCTTTCTCTTTAATGAACTCAGAGATAGATAGATAGGATAATTTTTTTCAGCTCTTACACTAGTTAAACAGTATGTTTTGGTTTTTTTTGGTACCAGGGATTGAACTCATGACCTTGTGCTTAACAGGCAAGAGCTTGAGTCGCTGAGCTAAATCTCCAGCTAGTGAAACAATATGATGTTTACGCACGAATGACTCATTTATTTCACTTATGAGTATGGTTTTGCATCCATTTAACTGTAAGTCTGCAGTTTATCCTTCCTTATGGCTGAGTAGTACTCCACTGTATAAAAAGACATTTTTATTCATTACTCGGTCAATGGGCATTTGTTTTCAAGATTTAGCTATTACAAATTGTGCTTCTGTAAAATGTGGTACATACATTGCTGTGGTACAATATTTTTAATTCTTCTGGAAAGACATACACAGAAGGGGATAGCAGAGTCAAATGGGACCTCCCATCCTAGTTTTTTGAGGACTCTCCACACTGATTTCCACAATGGTTGCACCAGTCTACACTCCCACCAATGGTGGAGAAGGGGTCTTTTTCCCTTAGAGCCCCTCTAGCATTTATTGGTTGATTTCTTGATAACAGCTATTCTTTCTGGGGTGAGGAGGAATCTCAGTGTTGTTTTAATTTGCATCTTGAATAGCCAGGGATGTCGAATACTTTTTCACATATATATAGTATTTTTTCATCTGAGAAGTGTGTATTGATCTCAAATGCCCATTTTTAGATTTGGTATTTAAATTTTTTTTTTTTTTTAGTTTTTTATATGTTCTCAATAATAACCCTTTGACTGAGGAACAGCTGGCAAATATTTTCTCAAACACTGTGGGCTGTCTTTTCACTCAGTTGGTGATTTCTCTTGCTGCACAAAAGCTTTTTAATAAGACAAGATCCCAGCTGTTGATTCTCTTTGATAGTTTTTTTTGTGTGTGTGTCTTTTTTTTTTCGTTTTTATTGGTACCAGGGATCGAACTCACGACTGCCTGCTTGAAAGGCAGGCACTTATGCCGATGAGCTAAATCCCCAGACCCTGATAGTTCTTGAGCAATTGTGGTTGTTCATAAAGTCTTTGCCTATAACAATGTCTTCAAGAGTTTTACCTACTCTTATCTATTTTTTTGCTTTTTTATTTTCATTTAAAAAATTTTACAATACATGTGAAAGATTTCAGTGTGTACTGATTTGATTTCTCCAGTGATCACTCTGTAAGAATCCTTTCACATGCTTCTTAGCCATTTATATCTTCTTTGGAAAACCAATTCAGTAGCATGGCACCTGCCTGGCAAGCACAAGGTCCCAAGTTCAACTTCAAGTACCCCGCCCCCCAAAATTAAGGTTTTTCAATAAGGTTCTTCATGTATTTGAGACAATAATTCTCTATCATATATATGTGAATCGCAAACTACTTTTTGCTATCCAGACAGCTGTTTATTTTTTTTGTCTTTTTCCTTTTTATCAGTACCAGGGATCAAACTCACGACTGCCTGCTTCCAAGGCAGGCACTTATGCCGCCAAGCTAAATCCCCAGCCCCAGACAGCTGTTTTTACACTGCTGGGTGTCCTTTAATGTACAAACACTTACTATTATTATGATGTTGCCGAATTTTTTGTCTTTTTTTCGTTTTTACCGGTACCAGGGATCGAACTCACGACTGCCTGCTTGTAAGGCAGGCGCTTATGCCGCTGAGCTAAATCCCCAGCCCCGATGTAGCCAAATTTAATTAATTTTGTTTTGCTTTCTGAGTTTTTGGCATCATATCTAAGAAATCAATGACACGCAATTTTCCCTGTTTCAAGAAGTTCTATACTGGGGCTGGAGATTTAGCTCAGCGGCATAAGCACCTGCCTTGCAAGCAGGTGGTCATGAGTTCGATCCCTGGTACTGGAAAAAAAAAAAGAAAAAAGAAGCTCTATACTTTTAGCTCTTTCATTTAGGTCTTTTGATTCACTTTCTTTTTATTTTTTATTTTTTATTGGTACTGGGGATCGAACTCATGACCACCTGCTTGCAAGGCAGGTGCTTATGCCGCTGAGCTAAATCACCAGCCCTTTTGATTCATTTTCAATTGATGTTTGTAAACGGTGCTAAGAGTCCAACTGCTTTTTTTGGGGTGGGATGCCGTGGATGAGTGCAGGGTGTCCAGCCTGCTGAGCATGCTACCAATGCGCTACATGCCAAGCCCAACTTCATTCTTTTGCACGTGGGTATTTGGTTTTGTCAACACCATTTGTGTCTTCTCTAAAACTATTTAGCTGGGCATGGTGGTACACACTTATAATCTTAGCACTTGGCAGGCTGAGAAAGGAAGACTGTCTGAGTTCAAGGTCAGTCTAAAGTACACAGGAGACCCTATCTCCAACCAACCAAACATATCAATTACAGCAGGAGTATCAGAATACACTTGTAATCTCAGCATTCTGTGAGACCACAGAAGAATGGCAAGTTTGAATGTAGCCTGGGTGACACAGAACTTAATAAGCCTTTGTCTTAAAAATGTTTTTTCAAAAGGGATGGTTATAGCTCAGTATGAAAGTGCTGGGTTCAGTTGTCAGTACTAAAAGTAAAAACTAATCACCTATGTGAAGATTTACTTCTGGATCTCTGTTCTATGCCCCTGGGCTATGTCTTATGATAGTACAACAGTATTTTAAATATTTTCAGTTTTTCTTTTTTTCTTTTTTTTTTTTTTTTGTCTTTCACCTTTTTATCGGTACCAGGGATTGAACTCACGACTGCCTGCTTGCAAGGCAGGCGCTTATGCCGCTGAGCTAAATCCCCAGCCCAAATATTTTCAGTTTTAAAGCAGAAAATATTTTTGATTCAGTTGCATGATGTAAAAAAAAAAAAAAACTACTAGAAATTGATATATTTACAAGAAACTTCCCTTATACTTGTCTTACACATTTACTTGTCCAACAGATTACTGAGTGCTTTGTTTGTTCGTTTTCTTTTGCCAGTACTGGGGACTGAACCCAGGGCCTTGAGCACACAAGGAGAACACTCTGCCTCTGACCCACATGCCCACACTCTCTCACAGATTGCTTATTATTTTGATTTTTTCCAACTAAAAAGGTCACGTAAGTAAGGAACTGAACTTTTTTGTCTTAAGGATTGAACCCAAGAGTTTCATCTTTTTTTATTTTGAGAGGGTCTAGGTCAGCTGCCTAGGTTGGGCTCTAACTTGCAATTGCAATCTTCTTGCTTTGGCCTCACAGAGTGCTGGGATTATAAGCTGCAACGATTAAGGCTGGTAAATGAACTAGAAGGGTTAAGAGAGGGGCAAAAGGTGAGTAAACAAAACTGGCTGATCTCCTGCAGTCTCAGTAAGACAGCATCAACCTGCAAGAGGTAGGAAAGGCCCTAAACAAAAGCTCAGAGCACAATTATGGTGAAATGATGAAGTGAAAGTAGGTATCTTAGGCAACTTGCAGTAATGGTTAGAGTCCGCTTTCTCCAAGGAGGGCCAGATCCACAAGATCAAAGCAGAAAGTAAAAACCTATTTAGACTTAGAGACTGATGAGTTTCACGTTTTTATTCAAAAGCACTTTTAAAGGCAGTCTGAGGTTCCTGTGGCTAACTAAGCAGCTCAAGGTAGACAAAAAATAAGTGAAATATCTGAGATGAAGTACTACAAACAATGTAATAGAGCAGTCAGGGAAAGCCTGCACTAGGAAGGGACACTGGACTATGACTCTGAATGACCAAAGCAAACGGCACTGCCACGATCTGAGGAAGAGAACCTTGCAGGTAGAGACAACAGTGAGTTCTATGAGGATGAAGGGGCGGTAAAGCTGGAATATGGCGGACATGTGGGGTCTCTACCAAGCTCTTGCTGTGTGCCTGGTACGATGGTAGGGGCCACACACCTGTACCAACCTAGAGACTTCTTACCATGATCCTATGACAGGGGTGCTGTTACCCTTCCAATTTATAGATGAGGACGTTGAGCAAAGTACAGAGTTACACGGGGCCAGATTATGCAAGAAGCTTGTGTGGACCAACTACCTTGTCTGAACTGGATTTTGAGCCGGGGGAAGCCAAAGCAGCAGTCACATTGCTGAGATGAGAAGAACACTACCACCTGCCCTTGGAGATTAAAACAGAAAAGTGACACCAAGCTCGCTACTGAGGAGGCGACTGTTATTGTCTAGCTGACCAAGTGCCACAGGGCCTCAAGAGATGAGGGTAATCTAACAGGACTTGCTGAAGGGCTGGGGGGAGGGGGATAGGGAATGAGCACTGGGATGATTCCGTAACTGCAACAGGGAATACTGAAGAACAATCGTATATTTTTTTTTTTTGTCTTTTTCCTTTTTATCGGTACCGGGGATCGAACTCACGATCGCCTGCTTGCAAGGCAGGTGCTTATGCCGCTGAGCTAAATCCCCAGCCCCAGAACAACCATATTGGCGACTTAATGAGGAGCTATGTTGGCTGAGCATGGGAACACACACCTGTAATCCCAGCACTTAGGAGGCTGAGGCAAGAGGTTCACCTTGAATTCAAGGCCAATCTGGGCTACAGCTGAATTTAAGGCTAATCTGAACTGCACAGTGAGAACCTGTCTTAAAAAAGAAAACTTTGTTTCTAAGTAGAAATACAAAGTAGTTGATATCAGAGACTGGAGATGTGAGCCTTTAACCTTTTTAACACAGCTGCTGTAGCATTTCATCCTTCCCGTATCTTATACAGGCACTCTCCCTCCAACCCCTCCGTTTTCTGGAGACAGAGTCTCACTATGTAGTTTAGGATGGACTTGAACTCACTATTAGCCCAGGCTGGCCTTGACTCCTGGTGATCCTGCCTCAGCCTCCTGAGTGCTAGGATTACTGGTGTGTACTAACATACCAGGTTTCCTTCTTTTATTAGACTACTGTTTCCTTGAAGCAGACTTGATACCATTCTTATGGTCCTTAATAGTAAACTGTCCAACTTTTAAAAATACTCATTATGTACTATACTCCCCAAAACAAGTATTCTTTCGTTTCTGAAATACTTTTTTTGTCCTCCAGTATGCAATACCTTTATGAAGAGTATTGTAACCAAAACATTCCTGTGTTTGTCCTTGAGTAAATGAACCATTTTAATAAAAACTTCATGGAGCTAGGGTGAGGAGGGAGAGTGACAGGTGAAGCTCTTCAGATATGCATTCTTGTGGACTCCATGAACCTTGTAGTAGGAAGGGGTTCCACAGAAGCACAGCAGGCAGACATGAATTATCAGGCTGGTGGTCAAATGTATGCAGATGTGGGAGACCTACTGAAGCATACACCTCCACAATACTAACGCTACCACTAGAATATAGTGAATGAGCTCTACGTGTCAAGATTCCAGAGAGTTAGCCTTTCACTGAATTTGGTCATTGTGTGAAAGGACACTCACAGACCTCCTCTCTTCACACAGAGAGCTCAGTCCTTTCAGCTTTCACTTGGTTTGCTAAAGTCAATGTGAAAAATCCTCAGTGCCTAAATTTCTCCCACCATTCCTCAAGTATTCTGTCTGGACACATGGTTGTTATGATTCTGTAACTGCCTGACTGCTCCTGATTCTATGTACCTGATTCTAGAGATCATTATCTTTGGAAAGCCAAACAGAAGAACTGGTGGGTAAGCTGCTGGAGCTGGAGCTAGATAATTTTTCTCACCCTGCGTCTCTGAAAGACAATAATAATAATTAGAAAACATCATGGCAGTTATTTATAGGATAAAACAGCATTTGTAGGATAAACTTGGAAATTGTATCAATACTGCTATGCAGTAAGTCAGAATAAAGTTGATGTGTACATGTAGGACTGGGGACTGAACACACTGGCCTTAGTCCATTTTTTGGGATTTTTTTATTTTTTGTATTTAGACAGTGTCTTGTTAAGTTGCTAAAGCAGAGCTCAAACTTTAATCCTCCTGCCTAGGCCCTTAGAGAGCTGGGATTACTGGTATGAGCCACCACGCCCAGCTACAGTTCTTGGTCTTCTCTCCCCGTTTGATATCAAGAGTGCTAGAAGTACAACGACTTTAGGCATATTTCAGGGATATCTTGTGGAAAAAGTCTGGGTCTGACTACATATAAATTTGCTTACTACAGGGGCCAGGGATTTAGCTCAGTGGCGTAAGTACCTGTCTGGCAAGTGCTAGGTCATGAGTTCAATCCCAATTCAAAAAATAAAATAAAATAAAATAAAATAAAAATTGCTTACACAAGGACAGAAAAGGAAAGTAAAGAACAAAAGAGGGAAGGAAGAGTAGTCTTACAGAGAGTGTAACAAAATGAACTGTTCCATTTTTTAGCATGGGAGTATCTACAATCTTTCAGTAGTTTTTTTTTTTTTTTTTTTTTTTTTGTCTTTTTCGTTTTTATCGGTACCAGGGATCGAACTCACGACTGCCTGCTTGCAAGGCAGGCGCTTATGCCGCTGAGCTAAATCCCCAGCCCAATCTTTCAGTAGTTTTTTACAGAATAATCTGACAGTATTCAAGAAAATTAAAAAATTACTACATTTCACAAAATCAAAAATGTGGGTAAAGACTGCTATTTAATGGCAGCATAATTTGAAGTAGAAACAACTAACATCAATGAACAATTAAGGAAATTATGGCACATCCTTTCAGTGGTCATAGTAACTAAGGAAACGAACAGTGCTACCTAGGTGACCTAATAAGATGTCAATAATTAATTTGTAATTTAAAAGACCAAAAAAAGCTGTAGAACAATACACATTTCCACTTTTATAAAAACATGAAATGTATATACACATCCACAACAGAGGATCCATCTGGTAGACCTGCAGGAGAAAATAGGCTTTTTTTGAGGGAGGCACAGCTGAAACAGCAGGGAAAGAAAAGGAAGCCATCATTTAGTACTCTGTACTTTTTTTTAAGCATCAGACTTGGGGCTAGGATGTAGCTCAATGGTGTAGTCCTTGTCTGGCAAGCATGAACAAAAAAATAAACCCAAAGCATGATAAAAAGAAATACTGAAGGCAAAAACGGAGAACAGAAAGTATACTTGTAGCTTCCAAATTGTTCTGCTATTGAGGTGAGACTGGAGGATGAGCAACAGAACCACCAGGGACTGGTGATGACTTCTGATGATTCAGGTGCCGTTCTTAGCCCCCCAAAAAGCACTTTGACATGTGATGAATTGTATTTTTCCTGTAATGTCAGAATAAAATAAAATAAAATAATGAAAATATAATAAACTAGGATCCAAAGGTTTAAGGGGGTTTTGTAGTTCTGTTTTTCAAAAGCAATGACAACACACATTTTCTTATGATGACTTACTGTCTAAGTTTATTCATGAAACAACAAACATGCAAATAACTAACAACTTTCTTTCTTTCTTTTTTTGGTCTTTTTGAGACAGTGTCTTGCTATGCAATTCAGGCTGACCTTGGGCTCACTTTGTAGCCTATGCTGGCAACAATTCACCTGCCTTAGCCTCCTGAGTGCTAGGATTACAGGAGTGCGCCACCATGCTGGTTAATAACTTCTTAATATCAAATGTCATTTGTCTCTTAATAATTTTTTGCCTAACAAAATCAGACCAACAAGCCAGGTATGATTATACCCCTCTAATCTTAGCACTCTGGTGAAGTAAGGCAGTAGAAGGGCAAGTTCAAGCCGAGCCTGGGCAATTTAGTGAGACCTGGCCTCAAGGGGATGGGCATGGGAGACAATCAAAATTTTTAAAGATAAAAACCACCAGATTTTTTGAGGCAAATCTGTATTTTCTTCTTTTTGTTTTGCTGTTGAGACAGGGCCTCATTATGTAGTCCAGGCTGGCCTCAAACTCACAGCATTCCTTCTGCCTTTGCCTCCTAAGTGCTGGGATTACATGCATACTGCCACCATGCTCAGCTCTGTATTTTCTTATCAAACCTATATGCCCGCCTCTGTTCCTTTCTCTGTCCCTTCCCACCTTCCTGGAGACAGTAACAGAAGCAGGGGAAGGTAAATGGTATGGCACCCTCACAGCATGGCATACCAATTCATGACTTTAAATATTCTATATAAAAATATTAGGGTAAGGCTTCTGCATACAGATTACATAAGATGAGAATATTAAATCACAGACTGATTTTTTTCCAGGATGACTAAAATACACTTTCTACAACAAAAAGTGATTAACAGTCACATGTAGTTTGGAGGACAATAATAGACATACAGTCATACTTGAGTATTTCTGGTAAATTGGTTCAAGGGCATCCCCAACCCCCGTATTAAAGTCCAAGGATGATCAAGTGTCTTTTCTTGTTTGTTATTTAGTCTCAAGTCTGTTTTCTAAAAGAGAATGACAAAGAATTGTTCAGGTTTCTTATGGCTTGTATCCTGAGAGCAGGTTATATTAAGGTCCCCAAGGCACTTTAAATCAGAAACTTGTGAAGGAGGTCTACAGAAAAAAAATATGGAATAACTACCAATAAGGGAGGTAAAGAGAGACCTAGGTCAAAGGTGCACAGATTCTGTCCAAATCTTTACTGATCTCTGAACACTGTGGGACAACTCTCCAAGCAGCGATGGGTAAAATACATGAATTTACATTTGAGCTGCCACCCACAACACAGGAGACAAAGTTTACAGTCTGGGCCTAAGTTATTTACCTGCTACACACAAGAAAGTGCGGAGACAAAAGTCTCAAAATGAATACAAACACAGGCATTGCTGGGGTTCAAAACCAGGGCCTCACTAATGCCAGTAAGTGCTCCACCACTGAGACACATTATGTTTTACTTTTCTTTCTTTTAGTTGTATTTTACATAAATAACATTTAAAAATTGACCAAAGTAACTTTTTTATTTTTTTAAAAATAGGGTCTTGCTATGTGGTTCAGGTGGGCCTTGAACTCACTATGCAGCCCAGGGTGGCCCTCAATTTACGGTTTAACCTGCCTCAGTGCTGGGATTAGGTGTGTGCCACCATACCTAGCTGTTTTTCTCTTCTTGTACTTTTTTTGCAATACTATACGATTGAACCCACAGCCTCTGCACTGAGGTACATCCGCATCCTTTTTTTCTTTCATATTTTGAGATAGGTTCTCGCTAAATTATTTGTGATCTTCATGCCTCAGCCCCTGCAGTGTAGGAACTGCAGGCATGTTGCGTGCGCCATACTCCACTTCAAAGTAACTTTTCAACTCATTCACTTTCTGTATATCACCAAGCTAGAGACAAAAAAACAAAACACCAAACAATGAGTACATTCTAATTAAATTTTTTAGACAATGGTATGGGTTTATCCTTTTATATGCTTTACAGGATTGAGAAAATAAGAGAAAGATACTGTGAATAGAGTTATTTTTCTGGTGGTGAAAGGTATGATGAACAGGGAGAACAGGGGGGCTAGAAAGACAGCATCACTGCTCAGTAGAAGTGTATTCATATAATGTGCCTCCTCCGTGACACTTGGCAAAGGAAACAAGACTATCTCTACAAAGAGACTTGCCAAAACACAGGAAGCCTCAGACGAAGGTGAATTGAAAGACATTCTTGACAGGGTTTCTAAATTGTTTTGCCTCAGTCTCTCAGAGCGCTGGGATTACTCCATGTGCCACTACACTTACCCTGAAGAATAACCTAGAAAATAAATGACCACAAGTCTTTAGAAGTATCAAGATCATGAAAGACAGATTAACTTCCCCAGATTAGAAGAGGCTAAAAAAGGGATGACAATTTACTGTGTAATCCTGCATTGGTTCCTACGCCCCACAAAGCATATTACTATTTAAGAGAGTTGGGGAATTAGAAAAATAGATTCTGCAATGTTAATTCTCTAATTTTGATAACTACACCATCGAAATGTAAGATGCTAATGTTTGGGGAAGATGGAGTATATCTGACTTCTTTGTCCTTTGAACTTTAAAGTATGTCACTGTTTTAAAATGACTGAATTTTTTGTTGTTGCTAAAGATACGGTCCTGCTATGTAGTTCAGGCTGGCCTCGAACTCATCATGTAGCCTAGGCTATCCTTGAATTCATGGCTATCCTCCTGCCTCAGCTTCCCCAGTGCTGGGATTACAGGTGTGCATGATGATACCTGGCTCAAAATTAAAATTTAGAAAATAAAAATATCACCAAAAAAAAAAAAAAAAAAAAAAAAAAGCAGCGCTAGGGATTTAGCTCAGTGGCCTAAGTACCTGCTAGGCAAGTGTGAGATTGTGAGTTTGATCCTCAGCACAAAACAACAACAAAAAAAACCAGAAACAAAACAAAACAAAACCCATTAAATAAACAGTTCCTTATTTGTTCCATTAGGTACGTAAGTATTTTACAATAATACTCTTTTCCTTGCTTTTTGATTACCAGATAGCTTGTTAGATGCTGGTCAACTATGTCAGTGCCATTCATAGAATTATTATAAACATGGACTACTATTGGAATTTTTAAAGTTTCATTTCTTCTTTCAAGTCCTATCATTTTTGCATTATGAATAGTTGATAGCAGGCAGGTTTTTTTTTCTTTTTTTGGTCTTTCCATTTCATAGCACGGACTTTTCTTCTAAGATGCTAACATTTCTCCCTTTTATAGTTTTTTCTTTTGCAGATTTTTTGGCTCTTGCTTCTATTCAATCTCAGTGTTCCAAACAAGCACATTTTGTATAGTAAAAGAATATCACTGAGTTCTGGATTAGTATAAAAACGGTATCTAGTGTACTTATGGTAAATGTTTCACAGATTGTAACATAAAATTATGTTATTTTTCACAAACATGAATTAGTAGAAGACAATAAACACAACTTATTAGAATATCAAAGGTGAATATAATGTTCTTTTTTTTCCCCCCTGAAGTAGGATTTTTTTTTTTTTTTTTGGTACCAGGGATTGAACTCATGACCTTGCATTTGCCAAGCAGGCACTTAGGGCTCTGAGGTAAGCCCCAAGTCCCCCCGCTTTTTTTGGTACTGGGGACTGATCTCATGACCTCATGCTTGCCAGGCAGGGACTTAAGCCACTGAGCTAAATCCCCAGCCCCTGTGAATACAACATTCTAAATTAAAAAGTATGCAAAAAAATAGTCACATAAAACAAATGTGAGTGTATCTTGTTCAAATAAGAATCACCTGGTTGAAATTACACTTGCCCAAGTAAAGCTTGAGGTAAACTGTTAAGTGGTTAAGCTATCTAGTATCTTCACTCACATTTAGAAAATACAGTGATATTATTCAACAAAACACTTAAGTTCAAATTTCAGATAACACAGATACTGTTATGTACTGCAAACATATCCTAACAAAAATTAAATAATACATTGAATGTCAGGCAAAACCTTCCAGAAGATAATACAGATACTATATATAATTT